GCTACAACTCATACTATTTTTCTTACAAAACGTAGAACATGAAAATATGTCATATATATCCTGTGTTATAACACAAAATAGGTGTTTTTTATGAGCAATAATGCTGGTCCATGTTTAATTTATAAATACTAAAATCTGATATGTTTTCGTTAGTAAACGTAAAAAAAAACAATAGAACTAGTGTAGTAGAGCTTTTAACGGGGGGGGGGGGGGGNTTTCCACGTTTTGTAGGAAAGGATCAATAGTCTTGATCGAATCCAACCTGTAATTCTTTTTCACGAACAGTGTGTATATTTTAACATTAATAAAAATTTATATGATTTATCAATTTCTGTTAAGTTTCATTGTAGTTAGTTGAACCTGCTGTCAATCTTACGATTCAAATGAGCGGGACGCTAAAAGTAGTGTTGAACTAAAAGATTTCTGTTTTCCGACAAATGTCATATGATATTCAACAAGAATATACACAAACTATATGTTTCTATTATAAAGTATATGGACCGATTGTGAAAATTCGGTATAATATATAACAAAAAATTATATGTATGCTGGAACTTTACAGTTAAGGCCACTGCAAACTGACTAACCACGGTCGATTATTCTTGAATCGTAAGGAGAATCTGGTGGTGTGTCAATTTGTTCATTGCTTTATGATGACAACTAAAATTCTTTTTAGCGCAATATCTTTTAATCTTACATCTCAGTCTTTCTAGCTAACGCATATCTCGATATCATATCTCCGCGCAACTTAAGCGTGCACGTTGTGACAATCTGAAAAATTCGTAAAGCCGCCTCCGTTCATTCTTGTATACCGTTTTTTGTCTCGATGCAGGTGAGAGTCGCTACGTGGAGAGCAACCGTACACCAAGCGGATGGCATTCAGGACCGACGTCTTCAAAGTCCTTCAACTCGGTGACGAACAGCGGGTCGCGCGATCCTCGCAACGAACCTTCCAGCTGGAGTTCCAGGTCGTCCGATAATGTCAACAGGTGCGTTCTCCGATCTTACAAAGAGAGGTTACGAGATGTTACTCATCGATCTCAATTATATTATTTGTGCGGATAAGCCTTGATATGAACCTTTATTGAGCGAAGGGAGAAAACGCAATTCTCAAATATTTTTGAGAAGATCGAAGTTAAAAAATCTCGGTGAATGAGTAAGTTTAGCAGAACATTCCACCGGAGACTCATAAGTGCGAGAGATCACTTATTCTAGTTTGTATATTTTTTTTTTTTTCAAGTCAGAATACAATTTTTGCATAAAATAATTGTAACTTATTGGTTTGTATATTCGTCTATTTATTTCCCATTAAAGCTCTTGACTATTTGCCACGGTCGTATTAGCGTGACGTCATAAGCGCGAAAAATGGGATATGTTGAGAATTTGTGCTACTTGCAAATAAAGAGATATTTGGATGAAAACAGTACGTAAGAGGCTCGTGAAAATGGACAAAAACTCTCCTTTTCCCGCTTGACGGTCGATAAATAACCGTTAAAAGACGCGTGAAATATGGCCCTTTCATATGGGAAGATACACGGTTTTTCACAACTGTTGAAAGGAGTATGCCTCCCGCGATGTAAAATCCCAAATTAATCTTGGTTCTCGTCCACTTTTACGGGTTTAATAAGTATATGTCACAAATTACACCGATACAATACAAAAGCAAATAATAAGGAAACGGTAGGCAACAAAATTTCGTAGTCAACGTGTTGCTCCTCCTTTTTCTCTCTTTATTCGGAGTCAAAAGATAGACGAAGAAAGTGGGAACGCTCATCGTAAGACTGCATTTGAATCAACTTTAGAAGCTTGAAAAACAAGCTTTGGCGAAGCAATGTCTATCTTAGAGCAGCAACGTGTGCGACAATAACGTGGGTGGCCGCGGTTGTTACAGATGGAGCAACTCGAGCAACATGGGCAGCACTCTGCGGCACCCGATCCCGCCGACGTATCAGAGCGGGCCGATTCAGTCGATGGGACTGACCGCTCCCGGAACGGCGCCGTCCTACGAGCGGTTCGACGCGTACAAATCGTCCCTGCCCATGAGGAAATACTGATCCGTTCGATCAGGTTCGCGCGAGCAGGCGAGTCGTTCGTTTGAGTGACCGCACGTCGCACTACCCATATCGGGACCCATAGAGAATCGGAGAGAGCTCGTCTTGTTTCTCGGCAAGTTGATCGTCACGGCCGTGGCGCGCGACCTCGAACGCCGTCATTGCCGCACCACGACTCGCGACTAGTCGTCGCGAGTCCTTTCCGCGCAGTGTCCGATCCTGACGATGATGGAAATGCGGGGGAATTCCAGCGCCGTCATGCAGCAGCCGCGATCTTTCAAGTCTCGCATCGGCATTACAATCACAGTCAGAGAGAGATGGTCTTCATGTGAGACTTACGGAGACGGCCGTGCTTTTTATATCGTGTCGAATCATCGGTATATAGCACACAATCAGGTGCACATGCGTTTCTTTAAACGAACATGGAAAATCATGGGAATCTACAGACGTAAATTTTTACGGCGGTGAGTCGCGCGTAAGCAACGAGAGAGAGGAAAGAAAAGGAACACAGTATCCAAGAAAGAGCGCATTACTCTTCGTATGTTGTTACTCTTGTTCGGCATTCATTTCTCTTCGCAGAGACGCGACTTCGACAGCAACGTTTGTGAGACGTTTTTCCATCACACATACGCAATGGACTTTTGTAAATGTGTTAATAGACTTCATTGTGCCCCACGAGAGAAAGAAAGAGGAGGGGAGGAGAGAGGGGGCGGGAGAGAGAGAGAGAGACGACTTATTTTCCTATCTTTCTCAGAAATTGCGCGACATCCGCGATTTGATTTACGAACGTTCGCCGCGCGGCCTCAACGGGGGCCTCCGTGCGGCTCAATCAGCAGTTTTCGCCCGAAGTGCGGTCCTTCTCGAATTCAGCCTTCTCGACACCACGAGATAACGAAGAGGCTCGCTGGACGGGTGTTGCAGTTGTTTAAACTACGAGCCAGAATGTTTGTTCTGGTGGAATGTAAAACGACGACGAGGACGGTCTGCATCGTACCGTGTAATTTTATTTAGCTAACGTTAGTTTACGCATAGTTACTTGATACACACACAATTATACAATGGAATTTAAGCAAAATGCGTATTGATGTAGCGAACAACTATTGGAACGTAAATAAAAATTTAGATAATGTAATGACGACGAGATGGACACTATTTACCTTCTTTCTCTAGCGATCTGTATGTGCGTGCGTATGTGTCTGAGAGAGAGAGAGAAGAGGAGGAGGAAGGGAGGGGGAGAGGGAGAAATTAATCAACGCGAAGCGTTTCCGCCGTAAGTGGATGAACTTCAACCACGTCCGGATTTCCTCAGATCGTCGTCATTGGGAGATCTCCGGCCGGTTACGGAACTGAAAACGTGCGAATTATAACATCCGGCTCAGTACGGACGGATTCGGGCGGCGGCATTCCTGAACGTGACGAATCGTCGAAGAAACGACGTCGGAAGGAGGAGGCGCGGAAGAGACGAGCGCGGCTTGTATCGGCGGTAGTAGTAGGGAAGCGGCGGCACTTTCCCTTTACGGCTTAGGGACGTGGCACGCAAGGAGAAAGAAGGAGAATGAACGGGAGAGAGTGAACGACGAGCGGGCTAAGCCGGTCCTCCTCCGTCGAGAGTAAAGTGTGTCGAGGTCTTTTCACGGACAGTCGTCTCGTGCTCGAGGTCCATCTGTCTATCCGTCCGTCCGTGCGACTGACCGATTGCGCACGGCCGCTTCTTTCCTCTCTCGTGACCGATTTCTTCCTCTTTTTCTCTCCTTTTCCCCTACGTCTCTCGCCCGACGACACGTCGATGTTGGCGACGTCCGTCTTCTGCTCGTCTACGCGCGCCCCTCGTCCGATTGTCATTCCTGTTCTCTCTCTTTTTTTCCTTTCTCGCTTCTACTCCCACGAGCGATAACACACACACACACACACACACCATGCATGATCCGCCGGCGTGCTCGTGATTGAAAGCGACGACGACGACTCTCGCGCGCTCCTCTTGATTCAAATAGTTCGGCGCGATTCCACAACGAGTGCCGGGTTGTCACAGGTGACAAGAGCGCGCGCATGGTGACGGTGACATAAACGCTGGTATGTCCGCGGCGGGATAACGTTCTCCATGCTCCTTTACTCGGCGAAGATGTCGTCAGTGATACTGAGTAAGTGAACAAATCGATTACTTGTGCCGAGTCCACTGTGTTAATTATCCCGCGAGTGCTTGTAATTAAGAGAAAGAAGGAGAGGGCGGGTCGGAATTACAATGTTAAGAGGATCCCGGAGTCCTGGTCTACCGTAAATTTGCTTGCAGTTATCACAAAATTAAAAGTCCTTCTGCAGAATACGCACACGTTAATATAGACGGGGACGGTAAACTATTCGACAAACGAAAAAAGAAAGTCCTACAATTTGCTTTCCTCTTTCGTTTCTCGATTAAAATCAAATGTCCTCGCCGTACTTTGCGAAGGGATTTTTAATTATGCCCAGCCAGTACATGTAACGAATTTTCGGTGACGACTCCCTGTCAACGCCGATTCGAGCGGTTCGTTTCATATCGCACCTTACGAGAGCCTTGTCATCCGGTGTGAAGAGGCTGGAAAGTGATCCGGCTGGATAGGACATCGTTCGATGGTGACGACGGCGAACGCTTGTCGATCGATTATCGTCCGACGACGAGCGTGACCGGTAGCGCGGATTAGGCTTCAAAAGTGAAAACGACGCGATTGGTATGTCAGTGCCTCGACGACTACTCCGCGCGAATCCCAAGAAAGGCGGCCGATTGACGCGCGGCGCGCTTCTCCTGCGCACGTGTGTCCTCGCACGGGGATCGCTTTCTATATATTCCCCGAGTCCGTGTATTATATTCTTCTGCTTGCTCGCCCTAGGAAACTGCTCGCCGTACTCGGATGGAAAATCAAAATGACGGGGAAAAAACTGTGACCGTGAAAACTCACTTTTCGATCGATCGGGTTTTTCTTTCTTGTTCCGTTATTTCGGCGTCATTTTCTCTTCCACCGCGCGTGCACGTTCAGGGGAGCCTCTCCGCGTTTATCTCGATTTGAGCGGCGTTTCGCGAATTGAAGTTGACCTCAATTACACGTTTATAAATTTCGCGCCTCCGTACGCGCGCGAGCTCCGATTCTCACTTTCTCGGTTTGATTGTTGCTCGGCTCATCGTCGACGAATTGTCTCTAATGATACGGAGTCTCTCTCTCGATGACCTACTGACAAAACGAATACACACGACCGGCTTTGTTCGGCTTCTCTCATTACGCGTTGCCTCAGATCGTGATCAACGATCGTATACGTTTAAGCACCGTGTCCTGCGCGGATTAATCCGCGCGATTCCGGAGCATGCCTGATGCCGCTTTTACCTGCCCGCGTATATACGCGTGTGTGTGTGAACGGATGATACACCCACCGCACGATTACATGCAACATCTTTTGAAGAAGACCGTTTATTTTCAAAAGTGGATCGTCCAGATAAAGCGAGTCGTAGAGCGTGTTATAACGCGCGCGCGCGTGAGATCTTGTCAGGTTCCATTCGGCATCTTAAATACCGTAAAAACGGCGTATATCCGGACGTGTGTTCTCGTTCTTTTCTCTCTCCCTGTTTTTTTTTTCTTTTTCTATGCCACGTAGTGTCGCGAATGGATAAAATCGCGCGAGGTTCATACAGCACACGCGTCACACGCACGCACACATCGAGCCTACGGCACATCTGGGTTACCAGATATTGCGTGGGCACACATCATGTGTATGCACGCGTGTTCACGCGTACACCTATGAACTCGCGCGTGTACAAAGAGATCCTTCAAAAGTTCGAAGAGAGATCTTAAGAGCATTATCCCTATAAGCGCCTAATATTATTTAATATTTAATATTATAATAATATTAATATTTCTAGAATATTAATAGATGATTATATGCTCACTCCTCCAATAATATTTAAAAAATAATATTATAATATATATTTTTTTAATATCCAACTCTATGTATATATATATATATATTTCAAATGTATTGCAACACCAATTGTTTTATTGTATAAATAAAGTCGAAATAATTTTGTGTAAAAATACGTTTTATACTTAAAAAAACCATATATATATNTGTGTATATATGTAAATATATATATATTTTTATTCATATATTTTTCTATATTATTATTATTTTATTCTTGTTTAATATTTTAGGAATATTATGCGTTTATAGGGATTAAAGTAGCATCCGAATTTCAACTCGGGCTGAATATAAATTCTCATAAATTGAAATCGACGCCATGAGGAAGCGCAATTTTGGATTTTGGATTTGCTATTCAGCTCGAAAAAAAGACGGAGAAACTCAGCACGCGCTCTGTCCGCGCACTTAACATTCGCTGGGCGCGGTTGTTTCTTTGTTTTACTTGTAGCGTTTTCACACTTTTATTACGGTTGACCGCGAATCGACGACACCGCGAAGAAGCCGCTGAAAAAGGGGAATCGCGCGATGTGAACTAATTGTCGACATTGACCGCGTATACACACATGGGGAAGAGCTGTTAGGTAACGCTCGTTCTCTAACGCAACGTCCCGCGTCGTAAAGTGTATCGCCGTCGCGACACAATAACTTCAATTAAGACAATGAGACTCGCGTGAGCGTTTTCTTTCTGCGATCGGTTTAGATAGGCCGTGTGTCTCTTCATTCGCAATTACAACGAGACGCGATGTAATTGTGTACAACTTGGTGAAATCTCAAAATGACACATATCCTAGTAATTATGTTAATTGACTGACACTTCGGCGACCAAAGAACGATACTTACGGCCGAGCACAAATATATTACAAAAATATCACATTACGATATATTGTGTTTTAATATCTCGGTAATATTACGTGCAATGTGAGTTATTTGTTGAACGTTTTTCTTTTGTAAAATTGTATATCTTCAAAATATTTGCCTGTCAAGATCAAAATGAATTACGCTGTATATATAACTTTTTTTATAAGTGTGTATATTGTCTAATATTTACAAAAAATTTTTTTTTTTTAATATAACATTACAAATACATTTTCGTCCTCTGATTCTGTTGCAAATTGTAATTGTATTGTAATAATAGAAATGGGTTCCCTTGCGGAAAGGCATTACTGCCTATAATAATTTAATAACTTTATTATTCCTACGAGTAATAAAATTATTGAGCAACAATAATCACTGGCAAATTTATTGCGGGATAAATCTTTTTTTTTTTTCTTTTGAGACCCGATTAATTGATTGATTCGACGTTGAAACAATATTAAAATTGCGGTCGAAGACACGTCTACATTTTATACGTGTCTTCGATGTCGAATCAGTCTAAACTTCGATACTGGGTTTTTGACGTTGACACGAATATATTATGCGTTTCTGGAGATCCCCGCGATCGTCGGAATGCAGCCTGACCGAGGAATAAATAAACCCTCCTCTTTTCGGCCACTCTCTTCTCTCGACGTATCTATCGGGTGACGTGAATCAGTGAATGGAAGAAGAAAGGCACACTTTCTCGCCGGGCGACTTTCACCATCGATGAGAGAAGCAGCCGGCGGGCGCGCAAGGCGGTGCGGTAAACAGTTCCGAAAAATCCTAACATGCGCGCGGGCTCTCGGGACTCACGTAATTTCGTAATTGCACATGCCGGCGAGATCCGTGGAAGCTGTCTCTGCCGCGCTTGGACGGTTCCATCCTGCGTCACGATTGCAAAGCTCGATCGTGGAATTCGCCCGTGCTGTGTTACAGCCGGATTGAGGCGCAACCTTCTTCCGCAACCGGGTCAGGCGACTACGAATCCGCGAACTCCGTCTCTCTTCCGGCTCTCATCCGATGAGACGACTGTACTCTTGAATTTCTTCAATTAGAGACAACGCGAGGAATGCCCGTCGTTACATGGAAGGCAGAACGTCCGAATCCAGTTTAGAAACCGGAACTAAATTCAAATGGGAGGAGCGCGCTGAAAAAAAAAGCAAAGAGGAGAGCGAGAGATAAAAGGATTACTCTCGAGGCGAATCAACAATGCTTCTTCGCGATTGTTTTGGAAGATTTGATCAGTTTTTCGCTCAACTTACTTTCATCCATAATTAAGAGGATGCTAAGGTCGATAATGAGCTTGATGAGTATCGACAACGTACTTATGTAAATGTTCAAAAGATATTCTAGAAACGTCTCGAGAGATATTCGGATATTCTTGTGAACGTTCTTAGGATGTTTATTGAACATTTGTGTTATACGGGATAAAAACAGCTTTGAAAATGTTATATAATTGTATTATATTATATATATATATATATATAATATATATATATATATAAACACTATCGCAATTATGCTTCCCCTTTTTACATTTCTTGTACATATAGATCTTATATAAATATAAATGCGATATAAGTATGAATGTGCTACTATGTTTTATCATACTAGCGTGCGCGCTTTTTTCACGCCTTTTTATCTTTTATAACTCAGATATCACAGAAGTGAATAGAAATTCATAGAGAATTAAACATTAAATTCGTTTTAAACATTCCTATATGGATTTTTATTATCCTACATAAATTCACACGGGCTCCATTGGATTTCTGTGGGAAATCTATGTGAAAAAGTTTCAATAGCTACAGATGACACATATTCGATATTTGTATTTGAAATTCCGGCAGGTTCCGAGAAAACTGAGAGGCCCTGAGGTCTTTGGCCTGCGCCTGTCGCGTTACGTAACACTTGCGCGTACCCTTGATCGTGTCGCGTGTGCGCGTTATGCGGGTTTTACCTAAGGTATTCCCCGGCGTGTCGTAATTACCATGAATAATCAGCGGGAGCATTTTTATATGTCTGCTGCGGCCTCGCGACTCGCTCGGCAATTATATCACTTTCGATTTTTCTAACAGAAAAGCGCGGGTAAAACGAAGCGTTGATCAGCAGTCGTTCGGCCAAGTCCAAAGTCGCCGAATTAAAATCGCTCACGTTATTGCTAATTTGCTAATTTAATTTAATTTAATGCCCAATTAAAATCGTTAGCGGGACAAGGAGAATCAATGAGATCGGTCCGTGCGATATCACGAGAAAATTGAGAAGCGCGATGAAATCAGCGCTGTCAATTTCGATTACCCAATTTCGAGTACCCGAGTCTTTCGGGATTACCCGGACATCCGCAGGGTATTCGTTTCTAATTTTGATGAAACTTGGCATATTTGTAGCCGAAAATAATAGATATGTATTTTTTATCGGCAAAGGCTCAACTTTAGGGGGTGAAACTACCCCAAATAGGATTTATCGCTTTGTCATCATTCAAGTGTATTTAATGTTTTTAATGTATTTAAGGGACCATTTAACAATTATGTCACGAGAAATTTGAATATTTTTTATGCGTCCCCTCCTCCTTCGTCATATTTTGCCACAAAGTATTTGGATCCTTCTTTCGATATTACGTCACATGTGAACTCTTCACCTCCCACCCCCCTCCCTCGTTCCCATTACCATCATATTATATTACTAGATTTCTTTAGATCCAGTACGAAAATAAGCACCATACTGAGAGCCTAATATTCCATGACCTCCCTTTATTTCTCCTCCTCCTATCCGCCGTCATAGCCGTATGGAAGTTAATAGATCCTTCTCCCCCTCCCCTCGTAGCGTGACGTAATTGTTGAATGACCTCTTAAATGAAACATACTACAAATCCTGCTCAGTTTCTACTGCTAATCTTCTATCAAATTATGTCAGCAAGCTCTGTCGATGGAACACGAGCTTCATGCGAACACTATGGATCTGCTACGGTATTCCGATCGAATCTGCTACCAATCCGTCGCCATATTGTTAATATTTTGCTTACTACAGTTGACCGACCGGTCTATTGTATAACATGATGACGGTAGAAAATCGCTGTCATTTACGCGACACGCCTATCATTCCCGTAATAATATTGTATTGTGTATTCGCGTTTCAGGTTTGTCCATAATATGGAGCCAATTTCTCGACTACTCGTACACTGAGGAGGTCGTACATTATCACGGTTACTGTAAGTGACGTTTGTCCTGGCCAGAAACATTCGATAACACGCTAGGAACATTACTCGTTGCACGCAAGCGCGCATACACAAAGGAATAACCTACTCGACATGTCTGTGAACTAAAATCCGAACTTGCGACTTATCGGAATAATTGCGAAACAATCTTGCCCAAATCGGGCTTCTCGTAATTATGCAGTTATAACGAGTCGTATATTAATGACAGAGGAATGATAGATTATTGAAAATCTGAAATGATAGCAATTGATAGACACTTCAGGTTTTACAATGTTATTTTAAAAGAGTTTATTTTACCTGTTACCGCTGTCACTACGGAGAAGTGTTCTCGGCAATCCCCACCGAGAAATTGAATAAAAAATACCATTTAGCACATATTTCGAATATTTTCAAGTGTCTGAGTCTAAATGGAGCAGCGTCGATTTCGAAAATTATGTCTGCGAAAACAGTGATCTTTCATTTTAGCTAAATTCCGTTACCAGCAATGGTTCAGAACCGATGTGAAAATGAGCGGAATTCTTTTGCCTCCTCTTTTTACTTGAAAAACAAGAACGGTCGTTTCCAATTTTTCCATTAACACGCACATTAATCGGTGTCACATATGATTTCTGCTGATCTCTCGTATCGAACGAAAACTTCTCAAATTTTCGATTCCACTCAACACGTTCGCCATCAGCGTCGCAATACAGCGATCATTTCTCAGTCCGTGAATAAACGAACCGTACCTGTTTAACACAATTACACGAAAAAGAATGCAAAGTAATCATCCGGGAGAAAGTTCTCCCCGATAAGCCACGATGGCGAACGTGTGTTGAGAGAACAGCAACTCGACTGGTACTTTTATGCTGATGCGAGGCTGAATGTGTCGCGCAGCGTACGGATACAGGAACTCGTACGTCACTCCGATAGGAGAAGGATGGTCCTGGGGGGATAGCGGACGGAACCGACCGGACAGGCCGGTATATCGCAGGGACACACGGCCCTATACGCAGCTGGTAAAGATGGAACGAGAGCAAAGCGATCCCCTGGTGACCTTCAGCGAGACCTTAGGTGCATTGAACACCGTGGGCAACTATATCGTCAACATGACGCGGGGCGTCGACATCTCGGATTATCCGCCGAAGGAACTGCCCTCGGCATTGTACACTATCTCCAAGAATATCCTAGGTATATCGATCGATCGACCTTTCACACAACAGATCATTCCCACTATATTGTAATGTCATTGCAACGTTACAATGCAACGTTAAGAAGACATTGCAGAGATATAAATAATAGAAATAATTGCCGAGATATGAAAGATCCAATTGTTCGTGTCTACTCTGCGCTTCCTCCCTTGGTGTTCCTCTTCAGGTCGCAACGTAACGGACAGCATAGCACCCTTGATGCGCAACGTGGCATTGCCAATAAGACAAGCGATCACGAGCACACCGTCGCCGGTCCAGCAGCAACAACAGTCCGCGGCGGAGCTCGCGAATAGAGACAGGAACTCCGTTTCGCCTGCGTGCACCACGGCCGAAGGTGGGCCTGGAAAGTGCCAGGACCTCAGTAATTGCCCGCAATTGTTGCTCGACCTCACCAAGCTGAGGCAATCTCTGTGCTTTAAAAATACGAAGTTGGTTCTGCCAGGGGTCTGCTGTCCTGTGGACAAAACCGACAACCTTCCGGTTTTCGTGTAAGTGTCCCATTGAACTCGTCTCGTCTCCGATATCACGCGTCCGGTAAAACGCCAAATAACATCGCAGCGATACTAGAATTTCCAACTCAACAATGTAAATGCAATATAACATATGAATGGAAAATTATAATTTTTATGTAATGCGACGATCGTGACGTTGTAGAAATCCCGGCGGAAGTGAGACCAACGAACACCCTCCGCGGCCGCCGGTTCGACCCACGAAGGCCCCGACACCACGCCCGATTCCGTTGTACCCAGTGGCATCCGTGACGAGTAAACCCGTGACGCAGGTGGTACCATCGCCGTCGGATCTGTTGGACAACAATACAAATGGCTTCGAGGCGATCGGCACGGTCGACAACAATTATATTCAAGATAACGAGGGTATACTCGATACTTGCGTTCGACGTGTTAACACGTTGACCGCCAATGAATGGTTGAATGAATAACGAATGAATTATTGACTGCCCTAGAGCAAGCCTTCACGGGACACTTCGCAATTTAATATGTGTTAAACATAAAGTATTGGATTGATACAGAGGTCACAAGTGAACGGCGATATATTAGAGGTTTACCTATGAAGTTGCCGTTTTTGCGAATTTTCTTAATTTCGACAATATCTTTGACTTATACGTAATGTTTTATTATTTTTCCGTTCGGCAGTTTCCCTCCTTCTAAAACTGCTTTGCATTTTTCTTTTCATTTCTTTCTTTTAAAACTGCTTTTCCGTAATCATAAATAACGTTAAAATTCGCGTGATTTTCAAATACGAGTTCCGTCGTAGAATCGATGCAAACAGACAGCCCGCAATATCAATGCCACATATAAGCCAACGACGCTAACAAACTAAAAAAAAAAAGGGATAAACCATAATAAATATATATTATATTAAATGGCTTTAAATAAGTTCTATTGCGAGTACTGACCGTAAAAATTGTTTTGGTCAGAGAACGAAAAGACATACGTAATTTTGGACATCGTCTTTCTATCCAGAATGCGGCGTGGTCAATTCCGGCAAATTCCGCGTGGTCGGCGGCAACGTGGCTCTACCTGGACGTTGGCCCTGGATGGCGGCGATTTTCCTTCACGGCTCCCGCCGGACGGAGTTCTGGTGCGGAGGATCACTGGTTGGACCGCGTCATGTACTCACCGCCGCTCATTGCATGCGCGATCAGCGGCAGCAACCGTAAGTGACATATATATATGTCTGTGGACATAAAACGAGAAGAAAAAAGAAGGAAATTTACGAAACAAATAATAAATAAATATTGACAATATAATCAGACTATTGGGTGAGTTAATTCTTACTTTTTAACCAAGTTAAAATTAAATCAACTTATTAAAATAAAAAGTTAAAATATATACAAAGCCTTGCGCGTATGTTTTTTACACGGATTACTTTTTCATTGTAAGTTCAATTGATGTGAAATAACGGAAGGATGAAATAATGAAAACGTTGCAGCTTCGCTGCTCGCCAATTTACCGTACGCCTCGGTGACATCGATCTGGAGAGGGACGACGAGCCGTCGTCACCGGAGACCTACGCTGTGAAGGAGATCCGCGCGCATCCCAAGTTCTCGCGGATCGGTTTCTACAACGACATCGCTGTGCTCGAGCTGAACAGGCCCGTAAGAAAGTCGCCGTACGTGATACCGATATGCCTGCCGCAGGCGCGCTTCCGCGGAGAACCGTTCGCCGGCGCCAGGCCAACGGTAGTCGGCTGGGGCACCACTTATTATGGTAAATCAATACTTGTTGTCTCACGATCGTTCGAGGTGGCGTATAATATGGCGAATCCCTGTCGGAGTGTCGCATCATTCTGGAATAAGATTTCAATATAACAATCAATATTTCATATACTATCTCGGAGATATATATTTAAAGAAAAATTTAACGAATAAGGGAAATTCGAAAATAAACCCCGGGCTACAGTAAAGTTTCAATTGCCTTAAGTAATTGACCAATCACGGTCGATTATCCCCGATCATGTTCGATAATTGGTCGTTTTCTTACGGCTTAAGGCTTAAAACACTTATTGCGGATCGGACGCTAAGAGTGAATTCTTCGTATTCTCGAAGATATTTGAAGGAAACTTGAAATAAACAAGGGAGATTTGCAACGATAAATGTAACATGATGCAGGTGGGAAAGAGAGCACGGTTCAACGACAGGCGGTCTTGCCAGTGTGGAGGAACGAGGACTGCAACTCAGCTTACTTTCAACCGATTACCAGCAACTTTTTATGCGCCGGCTACACCCAAGGCGGCCATGATGCCTGTCAAGGTGACTCCGGCGGGCCATTGATGCTGAAAATCGAAGGTCGATGGACCCAGATCGGTATCGTCTCGTTTGGCAACAAGTGCGGCGAGCCCGGCTATCCCGGCGTGTACACGCGCGTCTCGGAGTACACTGATTGGATAAAAAAGAATTTTAAGTGACAGGCGCCTCCTGATAAGAGACACATGTGTACACACGTGCGCGCGATCGCGCACATACATGCAGACTAATTACATACTTCGTGAGAAAGAAATCGAAGTCGATAACAATAGACGAAGGAGAGTCAATATCTGTCCCATTAGTTTTCCGTTAAATTCTTCGCTTGGAATTTGCAAACGTTTCGAAATATGATAATTCTCTCTTGGTTCAAGTGTGAAAACAATTCGTGTTTTAATGATCGAAATATTACTTTAATGGACGCACAGTTACTGTCCATGTGGATTGAGAACGTTTGTAAGTTCTACGGCTTTCGTCACCGGAGGCTAAAGAGAAACGGGCATTAGCGCTTTTACTTTCAACATGGAGTTATATTAGGTTCGCAAATTAATTCGGTGTCCTTATCTTTAATCAATCATATTTCGTATCCAGCATCGATTACGTCACGTGCCAAGACGTAATCGACGCTGGATACGAAATATGATTGATTGATTAAAATGATTTGATGTATGCGTAATTTGCATAACGTATATGTGCCTTCTTTTATCATTTCCATACATATTTTTTACGTAATTTTTTATATTAAATTTACATAAATTTATAACTTCATTCCACCTATAAATATGTATATAAATACAGGAGTACCTCCAACATCATCCATGTTTTTGTATGGTGATATATTAATGTGGTCATATATATATGTTATATAATTTGTGAATTTATAAATGAATTATATATATACATAATATATGGTGTTCCAGAATTTTATCGCATATGAAGTGCATCAAAAGATTCTTGATATCAAACAAATCAACTTCTTTTTGTTCACCAAAATTTCATGCGAATGATAATTCTTAAATGAAAACTGCCCAAGGAAAATAGAATAGTTAAAATAATATCGATTTTACGTCATATTGATCAAATTTTAGTCAATTTTTGGTCATAATTGATATCTCGATCTCAGATGACTTAAAATCAACTTTACATCGACTTATAAATATAACTTCTTTTCTATTGTATCTTTTTAATTTTTAGAAAATATGGTATACGTTTTTTGATTGTATATATGTTTATTATAATGTAATGTATGATATAAAAATAGTTAAAAAAAGTTTATGATTGACCGTTCAGATATCAATGTTCATAAGAATTGACTTGAGTTACTAATCAAAAGAACATAAAACTTTGAATTTTTCCTCTAAGACTTGCGCTTCAAATTTATGTCTTAATTTATTTTTTCAGTTTCAATTATAATTAATTTTTCTTCTCATACAATAATGATTTTTTCATTATTAATAACATTAATTATTTATTCTAATATAAAACGTATTTTATTTTTTCAAAGTATAAAAGAAATAATTGCCAGAAGTTCCGCTCGACTTTGTTGCCTATAATAAAATGCGTGTGTATAATACGAATCTTTGGTATTCGCGTTGCATATCATCTCTTGTTGCTAGTAAACGAAAAATTATTAACCTAACAAATAATAAGTCGCGCGATATCTTATTCATCGTAGAAAAACTTTTTTATACTTACAAGCTTATACATTATTTTCAGCATATTTTAATACGCTAGACCGTTTAGTAAACATATTGAAAAAGCATAAACTTTTAAGTGCCATTCAGCGAAAAATCTTATAATAGTTGCAAAATTGTTGGCAGCGTAGTAGAAAGTGCTTACTAAGCTGCTTTTTTTGCTGAACGTAGCCAACGCGTGAAACATAAAGTTGATGTCATTTACAGCCAAATAACTAAAAAAATGGTATTTTGATACGTGGAAGAGGAGAGAAATCGAGGAGAGACTGTCATGAAAGTCCAAGCGTTTAACGCTTGGAAGAGGTAAAACGACATGAAATCGAGAGAAGCGAAGTTAACAAATAAAAATTAAATTCACTAAATCTACATCGCGGAAGAAAGAGTCAACTTTAATTTCTTTATCATTCAGTTTTAATACGCAGCTTTCGACCAACTGAAAAACTAAAGAGATATGAACAGTGATCATTTTCTTCCAAAATACAGATACATCACATGCGAGATGTGTGACGTATAGATCTTATGAGTACAGATCTATTTTATATAGAGGAAATGCATCTTATAATCAAGTGCAAAAACCAGAGAATCTGATGCCGATAATTCTTACGGGATACTCAGGGCGGAAATCAACTTATAATTGGATCGTCTGAGCGGTGTCTTGCACAAAAAGTATCTGCAGGAACGTAGTCGTCATTTAATACGATCGTCCTATTATCAATCTACTTATTATGGTGCTACAGTTATGTTCTACATAAATGATATGTCAAATCAACCCTTATAACCGACATTGTGTAAGAAACGCAACCGTCTTTTTTTTGGTTCATTAAAGTCCGTATCTATCAAAACTACGAGATTATTGCTAAATTCGATAAAAATATTAAGTAGAGTTTCACGTTACATTGAGGACAACAAGTTGTCACAATAAAGTTCGACGTTTTTGAAAGATATACAGTTCCGAGAGAGACTAGATTCACACGTGTGACAAGCGAGAAGTTGACGAATCTTTCATTAGAATATTTCAACTTTTCCGTTTACAGAGACACGATTTGTACACACGTTTGCGTACGTGTACGTACGGAGGCACGTATATATTTTTCGACACTGTGTATCTTCAATTTCATAACTTCTGTTTGTCATTATCTTTCAGATTATTTAACGCCTTCTGCACCAATACCCCCAAATTCTTCGGAAGACTCATCTGTATAGACTGCAACTGTTGTATAACTTGATTCTCCGGTGAAGAGCTACACTGTTTTGTTATAATGTTGGTCTCTTCGATACTATCCGCGCTATCATTATTCGTATGTTCCAAATCGTTGAACTCGTTATCACCTGTAAAGAATTAATATGTAACAGCAATATTATATATGTTACAAATATGTTGGAAGAAATAACAATGATTACGCAATTACAAGATTACACTCACATCTCAAGTCGACATTGGCGCTCGTGTAGCCCTCCAAAAGTTTCATAGTTGGTGACTGCACCGCACTGTCCAATTCACAGATTCTTAATGCCAGTATTCTGAGAATAAAATATATGCAGATTAATTTACAGAGGCAGATTAATTCAAATATACAATTAATGTCAAACTTTACTTACTTGTTCGCTTTCTTCTGGTGCGCTAAAGCTAAAGTTTTGTCGTTCAAAGCCTCCAGCAAAGCTGTGCAGAGACACCGTAAATCGGTAACAGCAGCAGCGGACTTCTGGGGCGGTATATAAGAACTTTCTTGGAGAAGCTGCTCGACTGAACAACAATATTTTCTTCAATATTAAACATTTTAAGAAATTTAGAGAAATAATTCTCTAAAGAACAATTCTCTAGAGAAGAAGATTCGAGATACAATGTATCGTGTGATAATGTAAGTACTTTACCTTGTTTATGAGTCATTATAGTTCCAACTGCAGAATTTGCCCCCAATTTAATAGCCCCTTTAGTGCGTTTACTATCCAACATGCTCTGGAGTCAATTATCTAATATCAGAAATTAAATAACAAATCAAAGTAACATGAGATAATCTTCTGATTACCTTGTATTTCGACAAGGACTGGCATGTGAGTTCCTTTTCTTCGAGCAACTGCTGCAATCTTTCTTGCAAGTACCTAGAAAGTTGATACTGTAAATAAGATTCGGATATCTACTATCAAGCTGATCATTAATTAATTACCTGTTTTCATTGATAAGAGCATCCAAGTCAACTGGCTTGGAAGCATTTAGAGCTTTGGATAGCTCATGATTCAAACGATGTGCCTTACACTTAAAAGCATCTCTTTCCATCTCTAGCTCGTGTTTCTCATCCAGAACCGTTTGTAAGTCTGTTTGCAATTGTGAACACTGTGTAACAAAAATTACAATTATTTCATAATATGGTAGAAAGTATCTCCTGCTCAAGTATAAATAATTAAAACAATTAATGACTAATAAAGATCTTCTCTTGTAAAATACTTGCCTTTAAATTTAACTTTTCCAACTGTTCTATCATTTCCTCTCTTTGATGCATCGAGGGCGCAAGTGGCGCATCTTGTTGATCAACTGACAAACGATTGTTATTCATACGTAATGCCTTGATATCGCCCTCAGCATCTCCTAGTTTTTGTCTCAGCGTTTCCACTTGTAGCCTGAGACACTTATTCTGCTCGCGTGTTTCCATTAACAGATCCAGAGTTCTAAAGTCATCGTCCAAGTTGTAACATCTGCAAAACAATATTTGTTGCTCAAACTTACGATAAGAAATTGTGTATTAATAAGTATGTTCTTTACAGCTGAACTAGCTGTACCAGCACACGCATTCCCTTTCGCATAGTTCTCCTTCCCACTTTTTTATATGAAGTTACAGCTTATATATCTGTTTCCTTTTTAAAATTTCAAAACTGTGCACCACTTTAGCGACAAACAAATATAATTATTGCAACAAAGGTCTCGGTTTACTCGGTTTGACTGAAATACCTATTCGATTCTTTTGTATCGCACATCTGTTTCTTCAAATGCAAAAATCTCTCCTGAATTTGTTCGGCCATCAATTTAAACTGGTCTCGTTGTATTCTACATTGATCCAACTCCTGGCTCAGTAACATAAGCGCTTCGGATTTCATCTGGAGCTTCTTCCTTAATATTATCTACGAATATGCTCACGTTTAATATAGAAAATGTCTATCATCAATGGGCATTAATAACTGTTTTTTTAGTAAAACATTTTATTCACTCACTTTCGACTCTACGTCAATATCGTTATCATTATTTTCTTTAATATGACTAGATCTCTCTTCCATCGCGACAGTTGTACATCAATCAAACAACCAAGCACAACTACGGCTGCGTTCGATTTGGCCGCTTACGCTGCAAAGTCATATCCACACGATGCGGCAAATGTAAGGCTCTGTGCGCAATAAAAAATATATCAGGAATAAATATTAAATATTAGAAATAAGAATTAGAAATAGTGTGGTTAAACGTAATGCGTGATGGAAAAGAATGAGATATAAGATATGAATATAAAGAAATTACGTCATACGATCATTCAATTGATAAATAGAGAAGCGAACAGAAAGGCGATCGATATAGGTGCGATATATCGAAAGTCGCCATTTTGTTTTTTCACATATGACAGTAGCAGTCTGTCCTTTTTAGCTGCACTGCTGAACCGATGTCATATGTTAGAGCGAGATGTTTAACCTTTAGCGCTAAATAGCGTTAATAACGTCTCCTCTGTATTCTGAGTAATTTGTGTAACAAATCGCGAATCGTAAGGACCAAAATCGCTCGTCAAAATGTCAGCGATGTTAACCGCCGATTGGTTTCCTCTGGGACGCGATATATATTTTCGGTAAATTTCCGAACATTGCATTGTTTTTGTCAAGTTTATGTTTATATGGGTCCTGAACTCCCTTTTATTGATAAAAGTGCCTCTAAAAATGTCTTAGAAATCACTCGATTGGCTGAGAAGTCACATTTATTTTTATCGATAAAAGAGACTTCAGAATACGGACCATTGTGTGTACATGAACTGAAAAAAATAATGGTTCGATACGTGCTTTTGTTGCAGCAAATTTGAGCTGTATCCGCTATCCTTTCAGCACGAGATTTCCAACAATAATTGGCTCGTGGCAGCACCTTTTGGGGGTTCTATTGCTGTTACAAGAAATCCCAAGAAGTTTGTCAAAGTTCAAGGAGCTACTAAGCCTGTAATATTGCTGTATACGTCATCAGGAAAGTTGACAGCCAAGCTGCAAGTGAGTTATCTTTATGTCAACCCAATGACAGAAAGAACTTGGGACAACTTATGTAGCTACTAAAATATGAGTTGTCGTTCTTATAGATATACGATAAAAGATGTATAAATAATGTCTTTCTTTCTTTATTCTAGTGGAGCAGCGGACAACTGATAGCACTGGGTTGGTCCCAGCAAGAAGAATTGTTGTGCATACAAGATGACGGCAACGTTCTCATATACGACATGTTTGGAACTTATCAACATACCTTTAGCATGGGAGATGTAAGCCACACTTTAGATCCAAATTATTCTATCATTGATGCATCACTATATGGATGTGTGTTAATGTTTTTCTTCAAGGCAGCCAAAGATACCAAGGTTATCGATGCAAAGTTCTTCACAACTTCAAACAGCACAGGAATAGCTGTTTTGACAGCCACCAATCGTATTTATTTAGTGAACAATGTGTCCGACCCTAAAGTCCGACCAATTACAGACATGCCTAGTAAGTATAATATGCCTGTCCACTTCTTGAATTCGTCATTGTTATTGCAATCGCTGCTTTTAGGATACGGCGGTCCGATTGATTGTTGGTGCATGATACATTGCGACAGGGAGACACAAGTGATTCTATCAAATAGAGAGGGGATATTTGTGATTCACCAGTCTCATCAAAATTCATTTCCATTCGTATGTATTGTAATGCGCAATTTACAGCGTTGTTATCAACTAAGTTTATACCTTACCCGACAATTGCTGTTTAAATCAACAAATCTTTTTTTACTTTCAGAGTAACCTTTTCAACAATAAGATCAACAATGTACTGGCGATAACCGTGTCTGGCAATAATCGACACATCGCGCTCTACGCAGATACTGGACATTTGTACATCGGCTCGATAGACTTCCGAGAGAAGTATTGCGAATGTTTTACGAACGTGGACGAAGTCTTAACTAATATAGCCTGGTCAGTATAAATAATTTTAATTATTTTGGAGATATGAATAGAAAAAGTAGCGCGATCGTGTCACACCGTAACACGAGAATCGCCTCAACGTTATCGACGCTCGTCAAATTTGTCGTCGATTTTGGCACTCCCTTATGCCGTAAGTTTCGGAAATGAATGTAAAGAAGTTACCGAACACCATGTACATTTGCAGGTGCGGCACGGAAGCCGTGGTGTGCAGCTGGAGCACCACGATAATGGTGGTGGGTCGCACAGCCGAGACCATAGTGTACAGTTACGACGGTCCGGTGCACCTGGTGACGGAAATTGACGGAGTACGGGTGCTGTCGGCCTCCTCCCACGAGATGGTGCAAAAAGTGCCGAATGTCGTACAGAAGATATTTCGGATCAACTCGATGGATCCTGCCTCTTATCTCTTGGAAGCCTCTAAGCAGTTTCAGAGGAAAAGCCACAAGGCCGACAGCTATATCGATTTGGTGAAGGATAAGCTGGACGCAGCGGTGAAAGCGTGTATCGACGGGGCCAGTCACGAATTCGACTTCGACACGCAGAAGCTCCTGATGCGGGTAAAATTTAACGGTGCGCGTATGCCAGAGAGATCATGAATAAACACGATCGATCGACTTTCTTAGGCTGCCAAGTTCGGGAAAGGATTCAGTAAATCGACGGACTCGGAGTATTACGTGCAAATGTGCAGGACTTTGAGAGTTCTGAACGCAGTGAGGCATCCTGCTGTAGGGATTCCACTGACGTACACGCAGTATCCTTTCGCACACAATTTAGTCGTGATGTTACACATCTAGAAATTCTTCCTTATTCCGTTCTGCGAAGTGCAGTCTGATTGGGCTATCAGGATCCTTAGCGACGTTAGATATAACGTTCTGACGAATCAAGTGCTATTGGACAGGCTAGTAGCGCGTAGACATTATTATTTAAGTATACAGATAGCACGGCATCTACAGTTACCCGAGATCGATGGAGAAAGTAGAATATTGGCACACTGGGCTTGCTATAAGGTAAATAGCATCCGAGAGGAAAAGTTAAAAATGCAAACGCTGATCGGTAAATTTCGTATCAAAGATTGTATCAATTTTGAATTTTAATTTCTTGCATTTATGTATGCATTTACGTACGCAGTCAGTAGATCAAGGACTCGAAATAGGAACCCGTTGCAACGGGAGAATAGAAATAATCTCTGTCTTTCTACGGGAAATTAAATCTTTTCTTCCGTATCGTACAGGTAAAACAGACGCAATTAGACAAGGAACAATTGGCAGAGGAGATAGCCGATAAGCTAGGATATGCTCCCGGCGTTTCGTATAGCGAAATTGCGAAAAGGGCGGCCGATTGCGGTCAGAAACAGCTGGCCATCAAGGTACAATTTTATCTGTCGGTCCCGTGCGCACATGAGAGATATCGAGACGAACAGCGCAAAAAACATATTTTTCCACTACGATCTTACATTGCGTTGGATATCGCGACTTTTTAGTTGATCGACTACGAACCACGCGCGCATCAGCAAATACCACTGTTGATGACGCTTGGCGAAGAGCGAACTGCCCTACATAAAGCGGTGGAAAGTGGCAACACGGACTTGGTTTACACCGTCATTCTTCGTCTTCGGGAAAGCACAACTCTCTGGGATTTTCAAGTGAGCAATAATACCCCGTTATATGCGCGATCACTCACAATATACACGATCTTATACAATTAATCTACGGTGCAGATGGCTATAGCACATTGTCCACTGGCTATGGCTCTGTATATTAAATATTGCCAGAGCCACAATAGAGAGACACTGCGAGACATTTACAATCAATACGACGACTTTCATTCCCAAGCGGTATGGTTCATCACTGAGAGTTATCAACGGAAAGTAAGAGCAAAACATATTGTGTTCGCTTTTATACAATTCTACATGTCTGTGTCTGTAAAATTGCACACTTATTAATAGATATTTTATATTATTATATTTAATAATGCATTGAGTGATGAGTGAGGACACATTTTTAGAACACGATGTCGAGGGATGCGTTGCTGCAGTCCGCGCAAGAAAACTTCAAGTCGGCTCATAGTGACATTAACGCGGCACTGACCGAAGAACAGATAAAGTTATTAAAATATCAAAGGTCTTTGGGAAAAACGTTGCACGAGTCAATCGTGGGTAAACCTCTACACGATACTGTGAAGCTGTTGTTACTACGTAATGAGTTGAAATTAGCAGACAAATTGCGATCGGAGTATAAAATACCGGATCGAAGGTATATTAAGTTTTATTATTTCTAGGAGAACCATGTGTAATCTTTCGTTGTTGTTATATTACCTTAGTGATATTTCAACAGGTATTGGTGGTTGAGAATACAGTGTCTGGCGGAACAAGGTATGTGGAGCGATTTAGAGAAATTCTCTAAAAGCAAAAAGTCTCCCATTGGTTATGAGGTAAGGATAAACGAGTTTGCATGTGAAAGATTATAAATAAATAAATTAATTAATTATTAATATATGTGTGTATATATGTATAGTGTGTGTTTATTGATTGATTGATTGATTGATTGATTTATTTATTTATTTATTTATTGTTGTTTTACCCTCGTATTTTACGAGTATTTGATGAAGTATGAAAATCAAAGAATGAAGCTCACAAGGGTGTTGATTTTTTGTAAAGAGTCCTATCCATTATCTTTAAAATAAACCCAGAAATCACTATCTTTGTTTTTACGGAAAATATGAATTTTTAAAAGTCCGGGACATGTATGTTCCATCAGGCACGAAATGGTTAATTCTATGTAATATAATATAAGTTTATTCAACTGTCGAACATAATCAGACAATCTCGCTACATTTTTCAGCCATTTATAGACGAATGCCTGAAATACAACGAAAAGTTAGAAGCGAGGAAATACTTAACTAGGGTTAAGGACGATCTTAAAGTGAAGTACCTGGTGAAGTTGAAGTAAGTACTTCGAACTCCACACGCACACACACACACGCGCGCGCAAATATCTTTTAAGGAACTTAAGTAAATAAGATATACAATATATAAATAATATACTGTTATTTTTCAGCATCTTGAACGAAGCGGCCCAAACGGCTTTCGAACAAAAAGACACTTCGGCTCTTACATTTGTATTGGCGCAATGTGGATCCTCGGATAAGCAATTGATAGACAAGATCAATATGTTCCTAGCTAGCCTCAAGAATTAAAATTAAAATAAATAATAATTTGCATTTATACAAAACACTTATATAAGATTAGTGACATAAACCGTTGAGTAAACATAATCTTTCCGCATTCAAAGAATTTTATAAGTCGGTGAACATTCGTGAGGACGTTATTCGCGTAAAACCAATAAAACTGCAAGTACTCTCCTCGATAAGTAATCTATTGTGTATTTGGCTTCTTAATCATTGGCAAATCGATAAATCTATGTGTGTGTGTGTGTGTGTGTGTGTGTGTGTGTGTGTGTGTGTGTGTGTGTTATAATCTGTATAAAAAATGTAAATGTAAAACATCAGTTGTGTAATAAAATAGTATCATTAAATCCCATACATCTGCGATATTCTGCATACATATGTATATGATACAATATACTAAATCTGAATAAATTCCGTTATATCCCATTAGTATCCCATATAGAAAGTTGTTGGAAATTTTCTACTCTTAAAATGTATTTTAGAAAATCTAGTAAATATTTTAGTAATACTTGGTATTTTTACCTGAGTTGCGTTCAAAAACACACACATACACGCACACACATACTGTCAGAGACTGAAGTCACGAAAGCACACCGAAGAATGTTTCCGAATGCGACTTGGGCGTTTCAGCAGTGTGTACACACAGTGTGTGTTTCCGAGTGCAACTCTATCTAGTAAATTCCAACAACGCGATCAACTAACTTCACTGGATCGTATAAATTTTGTATGTTTTTCAACGAGATCTTTCACTATTAACTGTTCAATCTCCTCGCCGTCGTTCAACTGCTGGTTCGTAAGAGACAAAACGTAGTCGGTCTCATTGCTCACGATTATTACCTGTTGCTTCCTGGTTTGCAACATGTTGGCTATTACAAGCTGAAACAGATTTCCATTTCGAAAATTGGCAAACGCGTTCTGAAAGATTCGAGGAGAAACTTCGAGCGATTTTCACCAAACTCTAATTAAAAACTGATCGACGAATAATAATAGAAATTGCTAACGCTACTTTTTCCAGTTCTGCAATTTGTCGTTCGACAAATAATCGATAATTTAATTTCTATTCCGCATCGATAAGACAGAGCAGGTAAGATTTGACTGACGACAATTTCAAATTGTTGATTAGATCCATCAGAGTTTGTTGGTAATCACTTTTAGTGACGCGTGGATGTTTCAAAAGGATCCCGAAGTCCTGTTTTAAAAGATATTTATGTCCGCAAAATGACATTTGGTAAACGATTATATACACTTGCAAAAATAAACGAACACTTTTACTCAATCAGTAAATAATCATAAAATTAACAATAACAAGGCGAAAAAAGGAAGTTAAAAAGTTCCGTGTCAAATTAACATTGTGACTATTTATTGGTTGTTTCGGCAAAAGAAGAATGTCCGTCCATTTTTGTAAATGTGCTGAATCGTTCACAAACATCATCTTGTGGGAATATCTTTTTGTCTGAAAGTATAACGTAATATAGGAGAAATCTTGGCATGTGTTCCCTTACTTCTGACGTCATTAAACATGGACAATCATAGCAGCTAATCAGGAGTCTTAATAACAATCACTTACATTGTGGTGATATTTATTCAAAGCAGTTCTCGCTTTGGAAATCAGCACGGTCTCGTCGGTTTCCAATTTAAATGACACCACGAAAGCTTGCGGCACCCATAAACTAACTAATGGAACCAAGATCTTTGGTACCAGTTGAAGCTGGATAGTCGGTGGTCCGCTGGAGGATATTTTATGGACCGACTAAACAGAGAAGAAGAAAGATCAACTATTTTGAATTAAGGAGATATTGTGTTGTACGCTCGGTAATTAAATAATAAGCTCACCATCTCATTCGAAGGAATGTAAAAATCTGAGACTGCTGCTGCTAAATATAGAATAGCTTTGTTCCCCAGAGGTGCTAATGCTTGGCAGGCGGATCGTAGCAGCCAAAGATACTCGGAAAGAGTCGTAAAGCTGAGCTGCAACAATTTCTTCTGATTCAATGCTTCTTTATATTTTTGCAACACCGTCGCCACTTTTTCTGTATGTTCAGGTAACACTATTGAGAAAATAAATGCAGCATATCAATTAAATTATATTGATCATGCGTAATTGCGCATAATGTAACACAACTTACCCGTAATAACAGGATTCTCATCATCCTCTGATATTTGAAGCATGTCTAAAAACTTCTGACCCACAAAATGCCTAGAAAATGGTTCCAAGGACTTTATCCTGAAATTAAGCGAAAGATTTCCATCTCATCAAGTCTATGAACTTATGCCATGTAATGATGCACACCTGTACATAAAAATAACTGCGTATCCATGCTCCAAGAAATATTCTGCAGAGAGAGATCCCCGTGTGCCTGCACTGAAGTTATCCACAAATCTGACTGTATTGTGCTCCAAAGGTATCGTTGTACCTCCACTCTGTAATATTCAAAAGTTGGGGAGAAAAATGTTAGAAATTTATATACAGAAAATTTATATCTATATATATACTTGTCGTCACACTTAGTCCTGTTTATATTATGTCCGTAACATTTCACTTTCACTCACCGTTACTAGAACTACTTTGACACCTTCTTCTAAGTGCTTTTTGGTAAATTTCTTTAACGCACTTTCATTCTGTGCCAAGTCTTGAGGAGGTGGATGCTTGGCATAGAAATCTTCCCATGCTGAGACCATAGTAAATGTTATATGTATACACGTGTCCAAGAGTAACTCGAAAGAATCGCTATGAAGAAAAAAAGAAATTTAAAAAATCTATTGATAACCATTCAGTAAATACACACACATATATACGTGCATACATTATATAATGAAAACTTAACCTCGATATCAACGATTTAAAATATATTATTAATTACATATATAATTAACGACAATTTTTAATAACATTTGTAGGTTTAAGACAATTTTACATGTGATAATGCAGGAATTACGAGCCATACGAGCAGATTTGCAGAATTGATATGAATTAAGTAAAACAAATGAGGACTGAGAACTAACCTGTCACAATATTTCCACAAATGAAAGTGGACGAACCGGTCAATATTAGTTATTAATTAATGTTCATCGATGTGAGTTACGTAAGAATCTTGAAATAAATCACGCGTTCTTACATACGCTTATATAACAACAATATCCTATGTAACCAGTGCCTCACACTCCTTGCAAAACCACATTCCACAATGACGTGAGGGAATGATTTACGGTATAACATTCCAAAATCAGCTGTCATAGGATTTTTTATCGTGAGAAATAAAAACACGATAAGTTAGTGATGATAATATATTATTAGTCTTTATTCTTTAAACATAATTACTATGTATATTGCAGGAATAATATCGTAGACACAAGTGCGATGATTCTCGTAAAATTTATCACCTCGCAGTAATGATCTAACAAAAACTAATAGATGGAATAACTTTTCGCATCGCTACTAATATATAGTGACTCAAGAAGTTGTCTCAACAGAACGAGAAACTTACAAAGAAAGACCAAGGTTACTCTCTTTCTATATATATATATATATATATATATTAGCACTAATTACACAATACATGTAGCTTTTTTTTTAATCTGAAACTTCCATTCAAAATTATCTAATATACATTTGACAGTTGATATAATATCCTTCCAGAAGTAGTTTAAGACTTCTGTACTCTTGCTGTTATTCGACCGCAAGAACGATCCGAAGTTTAATATTCATCATTCGCTCGAAGGAAGTAATATTAACAATTTATTCCTACGACAATACTAGTTTACACGGTACAGTACTCAATATTCGGGTGTTGGGCTCTTCTCTTTGCTGTAATCCCTGGCTGGCGATAGTAACTGTGAAACAAAAAAGGAACATCGTGAATATTCCATGAGAGCTCGCTCTGTAACATTCACTTGGAAGTTACTCGAGACACTTATGGTCGCAATCACTTGAATCACCTTTACTTACCTTGTATTGTTTGTCCTTGTAGTAGTTCCAGGGCTCGGCCTCTTTTTTATTCAACCATGAGACGTCGGGACTGCGTATCGCCAGGCGCAACGTATACCACAACGCAAGTAGTCCTCCCGCTCCTATGCAAGCATACAGCGGCAGCAGCTGGAATAGAAAACAGAGAAGACCGTTGAAGGCCGATGGTGGTGCTTGCGTATTCATACAATGATCCAAAAAATTGGCGAGTGCTCACAGAAGGGTTCTTTTTTATACTACTCGCGGACAATCCCTGCATCTTCAGCATTTTGACTTTGTCGTTCGGGGGATCGTGCTGGCTGAAAGAAAAGAATGCAAGTTCGCGTCCTTGGGTAAAGCAGATGAAACGAACGAAAGTCCGATACGCTTTGAAAAATTCGGATCGATGATTATCCGTGCGACAAAACACTTCTCTCGAAGCACCGCACCGTGAGTGAGGGGAAGGGTGAAAACTGCGCACCGCACGGTGGGAACCTAAAGATCGTATTGCATTAAGCTGAGTCTACCAGGAGTGCGTTCAGGTAGACGTTATTTAGCGCGTCATTTTATCCTTGTACTTATAAAGTGTAATAAAGATAGATTGACACGGTAGAGCTAAATAACGTCTCCCTGAACGCACCCTAGATATGGTAAGTCTTGAGCTTAAAAAATTTGACCAATCATAATCGAATTATTGGAAATAATCGGTTATGATTAGTCGATTTCTTATGCGTAAGGCTTATTACACCTATTGTACTTGGCCTTAGGGGGCGTTCATGTTCTTAATACTTTATTTATAATTGGCGGCACTACGCATGAATTCAACCAATCAAATCCAGGCACAGTTTTGGAGATATCTCATCTCTCAAATGAGCTTCATCCCCCTTATCCATAAACTCTGTTTACGTTCCATCCTTATATTCCTACAGTTAAGTCCGCATCAGACTACCGATTGGGGATTAAGATTGAATTTAATTCAGCTAATCGGTGTAAAGCTCGTTGAACTCACGTTTAGTGAAATCTAGTGAATTCCACACCGATTGGTCAAATCTCAATTCAATCTCAATTTTCAACCCACATTCTGATACGTTCTTGATAAACGGTGCATTCCTTTATTTAATGTGAGTACTGGTAGCGCTGCAAATGGTGTTATTGGAACGTAGCCTGTATTTCAAAGTGTTGTATATTAGCGGGTCAAATTCGAAATATTCTTGAGTAATGAATCATCCGAACGTTGTCAAACGGTAAGTCAGACTTCGTATTCACATAATTATGTGTCATATTCCTCTTCTCGTCGTTGAGCGTAGTTAAGCGTAAATCAAGTAAACGAGGGGGAATAGTATTCTCGAAAGAGTTTAGTTTAAAAAGTTTATTCCATAAGCATTCCTCGTGTTTATTTGCTTTTCGTTTCAACCTGACTCCATTACTCGTCGTGTCAGAACTAAGGTCAGTACTATATAAAAGCTAGACGATTGGTAAAATGTAAACTAGCGTTTGTCTCATATACAGAAATAATTTCACAAAAATCCGATCTATCTTAAAGGATTATCATCTGAATTATTCTGATGCTGTTTTTATCTAAAAACATACAATAGCGTTACTGCGTGTCAACTGTCAAAGGTAGTAATCAGCTCAGCTATCAACGGATCTAATTGTAAGTTTTCTTTCTTTTTTTTTATGTAAATATTACACAAGAGTCCACAGCTCCACCGGTTACACACTCTTTTTAAATCCCTGTTTACACTTTCAGAACTTCACGCATTGAGTTGTATGCACGTATCGGTATACATATATGATCACTGTGACAAGATTCACGATGGAAAGATCGTCGATGACACTAAAGGCCACTGCGTCCGCATCGAAAGAATCCGTGTGTACAACGTAACTTCTACTTCAAATAACATTTTGAACACAGATTTTTTTTCCTTTTCAAGAGCAGTATGACGATAAGTATCCCATGATGGTTTAGCATGTATCTGGAATACACAAGTGCTATTACCTTGACATTAAAGGAATTTGCGTGTGTTTATATGATAACAGAATGTTGTTGTATTTTCCTAATTACGATGTATGTAATATGCGTCCCCTTACGTCTTCAGTGAATAGCTATGAGACCAGATTCTAAAAGTTTTTGCAACTTAGCCGCTATGTCAGGATTCTTCAAGTGGCTGTAAAGGAGAAAAAGACTTGTTAATGTTCGACGCAGAATGATTCAAATATATTGCATTAGAAAGGACATTATTTCTCTCGATCTTCCTTATATTATCTGAGATAAAGTAGAAACGAAAGGGCGCGATTATCATAGAATTTCTTCCCGAACAATCCCTTTTCCGGGTAATAAATAAATCAATTGAAATCGGTCATTCCTTCCCGGGAAGACGAAGTTATTCGACACGCTGTACTCACTCTTGCAGGGCCCGTGGATCGCTCTGCATTTGTTCTAGGATCAATCTCATCGCCGGGTCTCGCAGTATACTTTGTATCTCCGGGTCCGCCATTGCTCTCTTCCTGACTTCCTCGGGATTAGAAGTGGCGGACACGGCACAGGAGCGGTAACCGTCCAGTGCTTCGCTGTTCTGCGGATCCAATTCCAACGCCTTCTGATACGCCGTCAGCGCCTTGCCCTGCTGCTGCATAGCTTGCAAGATCTTCCCTTTCCTGATCCAGCCCTTGATGAACTTCGGATCGAGCTCGACGACTTTCTCGCAGTCCTTCAGCCCGAGATCGAAAGCGGCCAACTTCGTGTAACAGGCCGCCCGATTGCTGTAATACTTGGGGTCGTCCGGATTACGTCGGATCGCCTCCGAGTAGTGCTTTATCGCCGCGGGATAGTCGCCATCTTTGTACTTCTGATTACCGAGCTCCTTCTCCTCCTCGGCCTTCACCGGATCGATGTACGCCTTCCTCTCCTCCTCCTTGATGATTTTGTCTATGTCCGAGAGCAAGGTCTTGATCTCCGGTGTTCGATGCTCCGACATGGACTTCTCGTAATACACCTTCGCTTGCTTCCAGTTCTCCATCTTCTTGTAAGCGTGACCGATCCTGGTGAACGCCTTGGCTATCAGCTTGAAATCCGCTCTGTTCTCACGGCCGATCTCGATCGCCTTCTCGCACTGGCCGATGCATTTCTGGTACTCCTTCTGCTCGAAATACACCGCCGCTATATTCAGCAGGTAAATGATCTCCGTCGGGTCCAACTCCACGGACGTGTTGTAGTGCTGCAGCGCCTCGTCGAAGTTTTTCTTCTTGTACGCAACGTTACCGAGATTTTTCTCCTCGAGGGCCTTCCTCTTCTCCGCCGGCAGGCTCTCCTCCTCCTTCTTCTCCGGCTTTGATTTCGCCGGCTCCGGCATTGTCGGCTCAGTCTCCATCGCCTCCTCCATGTCGCTGCTCATCCCTAACAGCACACTCAGAGTCGTGAGCACTCTGGTGTCCTGGAGCTTAGTCCCGAGGCTTTGCGGATTGCTCCGCAGTTCTTGCAACAGTTTTATGTAATCAGGATCGGCCAGGTAGCCCTTCGTCCTGGGATCGTTCGACAATTTAACGAGAACATCCGGCGAATTGAACGGATTCGAGGCAGCCGCCGTTCTCTGGGCCCTGACCTCGGACAGGCCGTTCCCGAGCTGCGCGTTGTTCGGCTCCAACTGGAGACCCTTCTCGTAAGCGGCGATCGACTCATCGTACCTACCCAGATAAGCAAGGGCGCTGCCCTTGCGCGAGTAACCCTTTCCCCAGTCCGGTTTCAGACCGACCGTTTTTTCCGCATCCTCCAAGGCCTGCTTGTACTTCTCGGCCTTGGCGTACGCTGCCGACCGATTGCTGTAGAGCACATGATTGTTGCTGTCCAAAGCGATCGCTTCTGTGTAACACTTGACGGCCTCGTCGAACTTGCCCTCTTGTAAAGCAGCGTTTCCTCGTACTTTCAATGACGTTACCTGCGCGAACGACATATGATGACGACGAGAAAATTGAAAGTCGAGACGACTATCGGCACAGGAAAAACACAGGAATGATATATAATCTACCAACGGATTCATACAACAAGGGGACAGACCTCGCGGATAAAGTTATCGGCGCGCTAGCCGAGGAAGCGCATGGTCGAGGACGCACGCGCGATATCGCGTCCCTTTGCCGCATTTAGCCGACTCTCGCAGGAGCGGGTGCTTTACCTGATCCATTACGTGCGTCGTGGTTATATATGTCTCTCTCTCTCTACACCTCGAAAGCAACGTTCACGTCCGTTCACCGGAAAGCAAATGCGCGTGGATGACTCGCGTGATTCCACACACCGAAACTTCTGGACGTGTGCCGGCGGCGCAGCTCGACGCAGAATTTCGCAGAAGGCTCTGGAAATCGCCGCCCGCAGCGCCTCCCGTTGTTCATCGAGCAATCGCGTGCTTCGCTCACTCCGGTCAAGTAGGACTTCAATCTCGGACGTCGGTAAACAGCCGAGCCAGTAAAACAGCGGACGATGATAGAATACTGCCGATATTACCGACAATCATTTTCTTTCAATTCGACGATCGTTCGTTTTATCGCGAAAAAACCATTTCGTAGCGGTGCGTATTTCTTTCTTTAAATCCCTAAGACGTCTTTTGACTGTGCCGTAAAAGTGCTCTTTACCCAGACAGCGTGACTGTTCAGAAGACATCCTAGAGAGATGTTTCATACGTTTTCACGTCTTTTGAGTATTCTGCGCTGTACGGGTGAAGGCGCGCGCGCACATTGTTTAAATACGATATGATTCGAGGTTGAAGAACGACAATGCTGGTCACCGAATTCATTCATCTCGGCATACAAGTTAAAAGATAAACAGTATAAAATTGTTCACAATTTCTTCATTATACAACGTTAAAAGTAAATACTAAAATTTTGAAAAATTGAAGAAAAATTCGCCACGCCTCGTGAAGGTCTTATTTGAAAACCTGTCATTCGGAGAAGATTGCTTATCCACGGTCTAAAAAAAATCTTTTTTCGGGCGGAGATGCGTCTCTCTCTCTCTCTCTCTCTGTCTTCCTCTCTCAGGAGAGAACCAACATTCCGGCTCAACACCATGATGCTATAATTATCCCGTCGGCACTTACGTATCGGACTCGCTCAGACGAAAGTCCCGTTTCTCCTATCTTCAAATATACCTCGAAACTAACCGCGTGTTCGCTCTTTCTCTCTCTCTTTCTCTCTATCTCTCGTTCTCCTCTTTATCCCTCTCTGTCGAGACCGTGCTGAGCTGAAAAAGGAAGAAGCCCGCGCGAGCTTCTCAGAATGCCTAAACCGTTACACCGCTGCAAACACTCGAAATAACCGCACCGGTCTTTGCTCTACATTTTTACCTTTACCGCTTTGAATTTAAACCGTCGCTTTATCAGTATTTCTCCTGTAATCCCCGATAAACCACGGAGATTTATTCTATCCGGTCCTTTCGAAATAACGAGGGACAACGATGTGTTCAAACCTAAATCCCCCGACAAATTACAACGAATGTATCAATTCCTGAATATCGAACAAAAAGTGATCTTTGCGCTCTCACGTTATTATTCCTTGGCGTATAATTTTTATAACGCGCAATAATAACACGCACAACGATACGAGGCAGTTCTTTCCTCGAAACTTGTATCTCCTGTTTGTGCGACGTGGGAATTTCCAGGTTTCCTCGTGAGAACGTGTGTTGACCACAGGTGCCGATCGAGTCCGTGTAATTTCTTCTTTTTTTTTTTGCGCCGTAAATAACGACGTCGGGGATGACGTTGCGGTCGGATGGGAGAAATAAAAGGAGCACCCGCAGCAAATGCAGCTCCGAACTGAAGCTGAGAGATCTTGCAACACGTTTTTTTGTATTAAAAATAATTATAGCCTTTATATGTGTATTACAATTAATGATATCCGCTGTCGTTAATAATACACCATGAAGAGAATGATACGTATCTTTTTTTATTAATCTAACGGAAGATGAGTATGTACACAAGGATGAATAGTGGTGTGTGTGTGTGTGTGTGTGTGTGTGTGTGTGTGTGTGTGTGTGTGTGTGTGTGTGTGTGTGTGTGTGTGTGTGTGTGTGTGTGTGTGTGTGTGTGTGTGTGTGTGTGTGTGTGTGTGTGTGTGTGTGTGTGTGTGTGTGTGTGTGTGTGTGTGTGTGTGTGTGNTCGCGCAATGAACACTGATCCTGTTTTAACGTCCATCACGTTTTGGATCCCTTTCGCTGCGCGCGCCCTTTAACCCCCAGAATACCAACGTGCATCTCCGAAACGTCGATATTTCTTGCAAACCTCCACTCTTCTCTCTGTTCCTCACCCCATCAATTTCCAATCCGCACAGCAGAAACGCCCAAAGCATAAGGGTCATCCTGAGGATATCGCGATATGTATATTTATAATGTATTTTCGACATTTCCGCTCTGTGCGGGAATTTATGTTTTGAAAATATACACAGGGTGTCCGACGAAACGAGACGTACACAACGCATTAAGCTGAGAAATATCGGTCGATATCATTTCGTAACAAACCACTGAATATATAAAATGTCGAGTTATCGACGAAAATAGACGAGTGATCAGCACCGCGTGACTCGGTTTCGACGCGACCAGCAATGGAAAATGGCCGACCGCGCGATTGCCTATTTAGCGGCGGTGAATATCGGATGGCAGCAACAGACGGAGAAATGAGCGCAGGATCGTAGTAAAGAATTCGTATTCTAGGTTGAAAAATATATATAATATATATATAATATATTTCGCTGCGCGCGCCCTTTAACCCCAGAATACCAAGGTGCGTCTCCGAAACGTCGATATTTCTTGCAAACCTCCACTCTTCTCTGTTTCTCACCCCATCAAATCCGCACAGCGGAAACGCCCAAAGCATACAAATCATCCGGAGGTGATGTCGAAAATACATATATAAGTATATATATATATATATATAAATACATATATACAATAAACTATAAGTCGCACGTGTAAGAATGTGTTTGATTACTTCGTCTTTATCCGACCTAACGAAACGTATTTCGTTCGACGTGGCGACTTCGCGTCCAGCTACGAGCTACAATTTGTATGGGACAACAATCACACACGCTTCTTGCAGGTTCACATTCGCACATCGTCAAACGCAGATCAGACACGCATTCCCTTATATTTACACCTCTGTAGAACACACCGCGTTGCGACAACCGAGTTCGCAAGTTATTCCGTGTTACTCTCGCATCCTCTTCACCACCGACAAGTCCGCCGAGAACTTTATCGCACTTTTTCCTTTCCTTCCTTTCTTTCTCCTTCGATTCTCTCCGACCGAACTCGCGTCGGAGTCGTTGTTCTCCTCTCGCTGAAAGTTTCATCGCTTCGACGTTCGTCGCGTCTCCACCTATTATCGTCGGACGTCTCGGCAACTGAACCTCGATTCAACACGCTCGAACCTGTCATTCGCGCACGGAGACTCTCTCGAATGTCTAGGTGTTCATCACTCATCGTATGAAAGAACAATCCATAGAAGGATGAAGGGAACAGTAGCATCGTGACACGTCTCGATGACGGGCTACGAGTTCCGTCGTCGGACGTTTGGAATTCTAAAATTAGTGAGTTCATAAATTAAGTGACGAGAGAATCGCGAATTTCCATTCAAGCGATGTATATATAGTCCTCACCCAAAGGTAAGGAAGAGTCCTTCTTAATAAGTTACTTCGACGAATAATACGCCTCAGATAAATTTCGACACTTCGCAAGATCAGAGCTAAAGGGATCCACGTCGCAAAATGGATGGATCGGTCTTGAGACTTACACACTATCGTTTCTCAAGAATCTTCACTTGTACTATAATTCAGCATTTTCTCGAAATTTTGCATATCTGCGTCTGTGTGTTATATATATATATATATATATATATATATATATATATATATATATATATATATATATATCCGCCGCAAGGAGTCTTATAAAGAAAAGTATAGGCTTTCCTTCGATTATATCGTGTCTGCGTGTCGTCGCTTCGTTCATAGTCGAGTATTCGAATAGTCGCACACGTGATTTCGTCTTTGAGATCTTCTAAATCTACCACGCCCCTTATTATTCACCCCTGTACGATCGTTTATCGTTCGTTTTATCTTCTTCGCAAAATTCGTTGCCGGTTCAAGGGAAAAAAAGAAAATCAAAGAAGAAGCATATAACAATGCCTGACCGCGCAGCAATAATAACACTTCATCAATTAAAGACGCGTATTCACACAGATGTATCGGAATTAATCTCGCAGAATCCATTTTTATCTTCCCGATTGGTCGCTTATATTCAATTCATTCAGTACACAAAGATTGCACGCCCGTGTCAGGCTTTAGATTTAGCTTTGTATTCACGCGTTATATTTAACGAAGGCCGTTATCGCGGCAAGCGTGAACTTGTGACCTCTTATCTGGCTCCAATTCGCTTCAATTGCGCGCGACTGCGGCGAAATAAATTCGGAATTCATCCCGGCTTGACGACTGCGCGATCCCATCACTCGCGACGTCTCCGCGAAGTCCGTTCGCTCGGAATAAAATTGCCCTCGTCGGGGTTATCGTAACTCTCCGCGTCTTCAGTACACGATGAAATTTCAAGCTGTTAACACATTCGGATAACTATCGCTTCAAAAGACCAAATAGATCTCGTTCGCCTTCCGATATATTCGCGTCGCGTTATAAGAAGATGAGCATTTGTGTGCGCATTAAATGTTATACATTATATATTTTACTTGCTTGCTATCCCCCCCCCCCATCACTCCGTTTCGACTCCACCCGGAGGAAGAAAGTTTCCCCGGTAGACAACACGACGACAACACACATTTTAGACCTTGACTCCGACCGTGTTCTGCATATTGACTATCGCGGGCAAGTAATTCGGCGGCGACACGTCCAACGATGACGTATCCTCGTCCTCGCTCTCCGAGTCCGAGGATTCCGGCAGGGGCTGCGGCGACGCGCCGAGCCGCACCAGTTCACGGGCGAGCTGGGTGTCGTCGAAGCACAGCGCCAGCTGATAAGCCGTCATACCGGCGTATGTCTGGGCGTCCAAGCAAGGCCGGCATTCGTGGAGCAGAAAAGCGACCACCGATCGACAGCCGCGTTCCACGGCGATATGAAAGGCTGTCCTACCTGCCAACGCCTCCCTCGCCTCGAGGTCAGCGCCGAGACGCAGGAGAAGGCGCACCAGGTCTACCTGTCCGTTCGCCGCGGCCATGTGCAAACACATCTCGCCTGAAATCAAAAGAATCGTCGGGCGATGAGCGAACCACGAAAACACTCGCGTGATGATTCTACGATGAGTCCAATGAGTCGCCTCGACTCTAACGTGAAATTCTCTCTCTCTTTCTCTCACTCGATTCTTAACGAATTCAATCGGAGTACCCTGTTATCCATCAGCGGGAGGGGGGAACCGCTGCATAGAGATGTACGTAAACACATACAGAGCCCGCCAGAAACTCCGGAACGGCTAATTAATACACGGGAGAAAAATGTCAGTTACCTGCGACCGAATAGGAATTAGATAGAAGCTCCGTGACAAGAAACGATACCTCTGTTATCGCGACTGCGAGAACATTCTCGCGTGAATATTCACTATCGAAACTCGACCGAGATAATTGTAAGCAACCGACTAAGTAGAAAGCTGCTACAACGGGAGTCTTTCTGTTCCCGCAATCGAATCGATTTCCGTCTGGTTTCCCCCAAGCAAGAGAACATTCAGTTGCACTGCATAGGAATTGTTTTTTTTTCTTGTTTGCGTATATATACGTTTCGGAATGATGCGCGTAGTCACATGCCTCGACGTTAAGATATAGATAGAACTAGGAAGACACGGTGAATCATTGTCGTCGGAGGTTTGGCCGGCGTCCCGCGGTCCAAACTAGGCTCGCGCCGATCAAAAGTAACTGCTAAAATTAACCGCCGCGCCGCGTTTCCCGCGACGGCGGTCGCATTGGCGGAATTTCGCCCGCGTCGTACGTAATGCGACGTCGTGTCTGCGCGGTGTGCGTGCAGATCGGATATGCGTACCGCACTCTCGGACACGACGAATTATATTTCCTCGAATCTTTCGCCTCTTCCTTCACCTTCTCCCTCCCCCTCTCTCTCTCTCTCTCTCTCTCTCTCTCCGTTCGATACTTGGAGAGCGCCTGTCGCGTGTCGAAAGCAGAAAGCGTGATACGAGATCGATGAGGCGCATAAATTGGGAGTAATAACGTCACGAATAGGCGCGGCGATCAATCTCGCGGAGGAGGATCGATTTTTTTTCAGGGTGAAAGTCCGACGTGAAAGCCACACTAATGTCGGCGCCGCTGTGGGATTTCCCGACGCGAGCCGAGGCGAGAATATCTCGGCACGCAAATAGTTCTGCCAGGTATTTTTAAGTATCAAAAACATCTGTGCTCGCGCTCCTCCTCGCGGCGCGACGCACTGCGACGCGATGCCACATGCGTCGCGCCATGATGTAACGCACGCACGCACGCGCAAGACTCTCACCCTCGTGCACGTGAAACATTTCTTTTTTTTCTTTCAGATTATCCTTATGAGTATTAATTGTCATTTTTGAAGACCTTGAATTATTATCCTTGGCTAAAGACAAGTTCATGAAGAACGTGACACTATAACCCGGAAGCGAAATTAAGTGCATTTACATACCGTGAAAGTCCAGCATATCAGATTAATTATCATCCTTATATTAGATTAAATTATCAATAATCATTATAGCAGGTAATTATTAGTAATTAATGGCACAACCAATGATCCTAGATCGTGGACAATTAACAATTGATATAATCGACACGGAAAACGAGGAATCATACGAGGATCTATGATGACATTGGATCACAAACACGCCCCTCCTCCCCCCGTAACGGATTACAGACGGATCGATGAGTAATGAAATAATTTCGTGGTAATTAATAATTGTAGTAGAATAAATTATAATTAAGTCATAATAAATTTAGTGTCAGCCCTGAAAAATCGAAATTGAGAGAAAAAATATCTAAAGAATGAGAAACATTTACTCAGTACTAATAACATATTCACTTATACCAATATATATATATATATATTGACTTATTTTTCTCTCAATATAAGAAATTATCGGTACAGAATCGCGCGCGAATTTCTAGTGTTCTTTTCCGTTCATGCATACGGCATGATCAAATTGACATGACCTATCGGGTACACGTGACGTCTTTTGCATATCGAATATGACACACACACATGCACACACGCGGTATTCCTCACGTGTCGAAGTACTCTCTTCGACAAAAGCTCCATGCGCTTTCACTGACGCGACAAAACGGGCGCGCGTCTCAGGTAGACATTGACCGTTTTTCTTTTTTTTAATTTCCGTGAACGATGCAAAATTAAGAAAGATGAAATTACTCTCCACAGATGCTTAGAATACACAAGCAATACGGCTAATAAACACGCGTAGTCTCCAACGACATGGCTGAAAAATTATTTTCGTGGAAAAACGGTAACTTCGCCCAAAATTCTAGTCGATATCGACGATGATGATTTGCAGCTTTGTTAACAAATAACGCTCGTGTATTTCTTCTTCTTCTATCACTACGTCCGTCTCGTTTCAAGTCAATCGACAAAAATTATCTTCGCGAGAGAAAACGACAGCTTCGCTTCACAATTACGTATTCCGATATCGACTTGGAAACTCGAATCGAAGACTCGTACTTTCCAATATCAGCATTTATTTCACTTTAATTAATCGCGTTTCTGATTATACAATCTCGACAAAATTTCCGTTCCCAAGGGAAACAACGCTGATTTCGGTACGTGATTATTCCGAATGAATCAGTTGCTTCTCGCGGTCGCGGAAACGATACCACGAAATTATTTCGTTACTCATCAATCCGTCTGTGATCCGTCGCGCAAGTTATCTAACGGTGAGAAGAGGGGGAGGGGGGGGACGGTGTTTCAACTTCAATGTCATCATAGATCCTCTTATGATTCCTCGTTTTCGGCGTTTTCGTCGATTATATCAATTGATAATCGGATACGATCTAGAACGGTCGGTTACGCCATACGTTCGCACAACGACAGTCGCCGCATGTTCACGCCCGTGCGTGCGTTATCCGCGCGCGCTCTCGGCATCGCCGCCATGAGCGGAGCTTGCGGCGGAATATACGCCGATGACGCTATGCGGGATTTCCAAGACTTTTAAAAAGTCCGCGAACGATTTGGCGACGAATGGCAACCGTCAAAGCGATTCTCCACGTTCCACACCGCAGCCTCCAAAGAAAGAACGCAGGCACGCACGCGTAAAAGGATTCCGTTTCGCTACTATTAATATGAAACGTGTAATTAACTAGTATGTCGTTAAAATTTAATGAGCTCTCATTCGACATACCGTAAACGTTCAGAAGTGAATTTTAACGATTGGTATCGCGAGTGTTTCAGAACGAGACAACGAGACAAAATTCACGGGAGAGATTGACTGAAGTCTCATCAGTTGAGCGAATTTAATTATTATACAATTGAAATTTTCTTATTAAAAATTTTAGGAAACCGTCTAATTTGTAAAAAGTATACCGGTCAAGAAAACTTAAAGGAATCTAATCGAATTTATCGATTGGGATTAATTTGAATAACCGTATATTTACTATCGTATACAAACGTAGGTATTCATTGCAAGGAACTGATCAAAATTTCCTATTAATAGTAAATTTATTTAATAATTTTTCAAAATCAGGTTCTACGTTAAAAAAAAGGGGGGCAGGGGTCTGAATCCTTTTAGTTTTTCTTACTTGGGGAAATTTTATCGGAATCCGATAATAAGTAGGGAAAAGAAATCTCTACATGAGACTGAGATCAAGTGAAAAAGACCCGGTAAAATCTTGATTGAAAAGAGAGAAGAGAGAGAGAGAGAGAGAGAAAGAGAGGAAAGAAGAAAGGCTGACGATGGAGGCTTCGTGACTAAACTGCGGTCGGAACTCTTTTCAAGAAAATTATCATTTCTTTGAAACATCCGCAGGCAAGAACGCCTCTGTGTCCTCTGTGGGGCACAGTTTGCCGGAAAATATGAAGTAAAAATATTATAATTAAAGAGTGTATCAGTCAACAGCTGAGTGTTGAAAACGAGTTTTCCAAAATTAACAAATATCCTGAGTAATAATCCGACTCAAAGAATTTGCGTTACTCCAGATGGCGACACGTAATTTTTTACTAGGAGCAGAAACGTGAAAAAGTCTATTCTCGTCCAAAAAGCACGTTTCCACTTCAAGTCCTCCTCTTGTGTTTCTCTTAGTTACAATTTTTCGATAAAACTTTGTTCAAGTTTTTTTTTGTACTTTTTTGTAAGTAGGATAATTGTTACACGAAAAATTTCTTAGTAGAGTAATTTAGATGTGCAAGGCACTTAGCTACCACGACGCGTATTGCGAGTTCGAATCTTAATTATTTCAACTTTTTGTTTTAATCCGCATGTCCAGATTATCGTGCGGTATAAATAAATATACGAGTATTTATATCCTTTATTATCCTGTATTCCCTATTGAACGTTTCCCCGAACAGCTAATAAAAATTGCACCTTTTCTTCAATGTTGCCAAAAGATTTATCTGCATATATTTTGTACACGTGTTATATGATTAGCAACAGATGTCGACTACATGGACACTTCCGTCTTGACAGAGGAATTCGTTTTTGCGTAGATATACCGGTTATCTGTAAATTTTTTCGTGTAAGAAAAATGATGTCCGCAGGTGATAAATAAACTCTCGTGCAACAAGAGATGGAGGTGAAGAGAACGCGAAACGTCAGTGTCTGTTTGTCACACATCGCGACTCGTGTCCTCCCGTGTGTTCTTTTTCTGGAAACCTTCGACTTATTATCGCGGAGTGACGTGCCTGGAGGCATTCCTCCCGACGTATTCGCCGAAGTCGGGGGCCTTATCGACACTTATTCATGAAATTTCTTACGGCGAGGCCGCGGTATTATGTTACGCTTTATCTATGCGGATTTTCGTCATGGTAACGCAGGGATTCCCCGGACACGAGAGCAGTCGACGTTTCGCCGACAAGTAGATCCGTATCAGATAGCAATCGAGCAGTCGCGTTATTATCGACACCGTAAATCTGAAATCGAGTAAATAGCTTGCGATTGAAAATGGCGAGTCGGGGAGGATCATCCCAGGTCGAAAATTGTATGCTGCTCGGACGCTTGTAGAGATAATTCACGCCCACTTAAATAGCCTATGGACTAAAATAAATATCTACTTTAAAGACACTGACATTTATTAACTTCTGAATCTTTAATTCTACAGATCGTTTAATTTTAATGTTACCTCGGACAACTTATTCTGACGCAAAAACAGCGAAAATGGAAACTTAAGATATCGTCAAAGTCAAAACAAGAATAAATTATATTATAAGACTTGAAATTGAATGTATTTTGCTATCTTAGATAGTATCTCAGCTTCTATCGTGTGTGATGTAGAATTCAAGGTTCGATATTTCGATTCGGAGTCAAATCGATGAGCCCGTCGATTTATCACGGTTTGAAATTGGGCGCTCTTGAGAGGCGACGAAGTGTCTATCACATATGCAAATCGCATTCCCCCTTCCGTTCCCCCCTAAGGAGCTCGTGATAAAACGACGGATCCGCGAAAATACGGAGACCTCCCCGTACACATCTCTCTCTCTCTCTCAGTATAACAGTCGTATAAAACTTCAATGCTGCGGGTATTTAAGTTATACCTCTCGAATGAATTAACATATATTTCGTCTCGATCATCATTGGAAAGGAATATTATTCCTGACGCGACGAGCCAGATCCAATGGGACTTCCATGCGTAAACATAGAAAAACATGTGATTCTCGATGAAATCATAAGAAACCCGTACAGGCTACGCACGGGTTTCACGGCCACGGCAGTATCATCATCCGAGCGGTGCGAGCCTCGCACATGACTTGTTCTATACGCGATAAAAGCAGTTAGGATTTCCCGCCACCTCGGGGCTGTATCGCTCGGACGGAGCCGTCCTTTGTGTTTCTCCATCGTCGCGGACGCGGATAGTCTTTTCTCTGCGTTAACGGCGGTATGTAATACCGCAAACTTCTTAAATCATTATCTTTACGCAACCGCAAGGAAAAATCGCCGCGTAAAATTCGAGAGAGAGAGAGAGAGAGAGAGAGAGAGAGAAGAAAAGTTAGTTCCTACAATTGAATAGGAGCCAGATGAAAATTTACTAGCAAGAAATGACATCCTTGTTACAACGATTGAGAATATTCTTGTGAACGTTCATTAAAACCCGATTAAAAGATAACCGAAGGCAATTGACTGGATAGAAATCTCTACAGGAATCTTCCAATCGAGCTTTCGTCTGGTCCTTAGACAATAGAAAATCAGACGAACCAAACTTTTTCCCGTGCAATATTCGTACACGGGAGAGAAACAACTCCGTTGGTGCAAGTGAAGTTTTCCTTGCCTAGGAAGAACAGGGAACAATGGGAGCGAAAAAATGCTCGCAGGAAGTTTCTACTCGGTAATTTGCCGCTCAGTTGTTGCTCTTCCGTTGAACGGAAAACTCGGTTGCAAGGATAGAAAGATTTCCAAGGATAGGAGATTTCCACTCGGTCGTTTCAACCCGCTGGCACCTGCTCGGTTACACGAGACCTATTTTTCGACGTAGACTGAGTTTTTTTCCAAATGATCGACCGATATTTAGCGAGCACTCACCGCTGTAATTACGTTGCTCCAAATTCTGGGGTAGAGCCGGCACCTTCTCACCAGGCATCAGCTCGTTCCTCTCTATCGAAGACAATGGGTCCGTGAGCGCCTTGGCGCAGGCGACGTCTCCAGTGGCGCAGGCGAGATGAAGGGCCGTGTTGCCGCGGAAATTCCTCAGGGACGGGTCCGCGCCGGCCAGGATCAGGCGTCGTATAATCGTCGGTTGGTGGGCGAGTACCGCCAGGTGCAGGGGAGACTGGCAGTCGTCGTTCAGGATGTTCAACAGGCAGGGGTGAGGCGCCATCTTGATTAAACTGAACGTGGCCTCCACAAAGCCCTGCACGATCGCGATATGCAATTGCCTGCGAAGCAGATGGAAGTGTTACGTAAGAATCGGTAGCTCTGGAAAGCAATCTCGCGATACGTCTCGTCGGTTCGTGCCGATCTTAAGCATCATTCAAATTCGTATCCAAATTCGTATAAATTTGAGTTAACAAATGGGAAGATTCATCGCTGCCCAGTGCTAATAATTTCTCGAAGCCATTCATCGAAATGCCAACAAGAGGCACCATCGTTGCGGTTTTATTAATAAATAAAACGTGTGACGTCATTCACCTTATTGACCTTTCGCCTTGATATCGTTAGAGAACTGTCATTTCATTTGACGTGTATGTTTACAAATGAGATCGGTGACGTTAATTCGCCACGCAATATACCGTGTCACGTGAAAACGTTCTATCTGAATTTCATTTGTCGTTGAGTTACTACTCTTTGTTACGTAACTTCGCATAATTAACCGCGGCAACGATAAACGAGTTTTCGCAATAATAAAATTCCCAAGTCGCGGTTTTTCTTTTCCTCGAGCAGGGTTCAATGTTTCGCCATTGTGTGTTGCGTTCTAGATTCGATTCAATCGGCTTCACGCGATATATATGTGTTCGAGATCGAGTTCGAAAACATATCATGTCGCGAGAAAAGCAATGAATCTTTGGAAAGTACGTACCGTGTGATTTCTCAACGTTTCTTTAAAAAACCCGAGTCCCACGCACAACTTCTCGAGAAAGCCGATGAATATAAAATCACCGATGTGACATTTATTGTCGCGTACTGACGGTTTCTCGGTTCATCGCGGAAGTTTCCCGCGTTTTGTAACGTTGAAATTTCCCTTCGCATCACCGATGCGAGTGAACGACACGTCTCCCTCCCGTGAAAATCCCAGCGCGCGTCACCGCTGTACAATTTATCGTTTTTGTTCCGCGGAATTCCACCAAAGACGATCCTTATCAAGGATGAAACTCGTTTCATTCAGCCGGTCAACGAGCTCCGCCGAGCGCGTTCAATGCATGTAATACGTGTATGTATAACCTACGCTATTTACGCGAACATCAACGTTGACATGACGCATAACAATATTCGCTTAAATCGACGCACTCGTACCGCGCACGTGGAAAAAAGGAGAGAGAAAAAAGATGCAGCTCGTCTCTAATGAGACGAGATTAAAGATGACTGTTCGCCCAAGGCTTTGCATTCACCGACGTGCGGGGAGTGCAAGTTCGCACGATAAATTCCCGAGATCCAAAGAACTGATATAAATTCACGGGAAATTTTGAAGCGTGCAGAAGCGAAACGTTCCCCATCCCATCTTCTTCAATTTATGCATCGGTAATGGGAAATGAGAAATCTCATTTTTACACAATACGCGTTGGAAAACGAAACTTCTCGCTTTTCGCGTGCGAAGCTTTAGCAGATGTAGCGACATTTTTCGTGATATTTTACCCGAATCCTGAATTATCAAATACTTCTGAATCATTTTCCGGAGGCTTGTCTATTCACGATTCTCCGTGACTCCGTGATTCTTTTCGATCGCGACAACGTCGATTGGATGACGTCCATTCCTAATTAAATACATCGCGTAGTATTCCCGTTGAGGATCGCGCGCAATTAACGTATGTATATCGCACAACAGCCAATCCCTGGACCCGCGGTGACCGCGTGATTACGAGAGCGTTGCTGACGAGTACACACGTCATAGCGATCGCATTAACACGAGATCGTCGACTCAGCACGATGGCTTGTCCTATAATTTCCTAACGATATACATATGTTACATGATTGGAAAATAACGCAATTATAAGTTACCTTTCTTTCCAATAACCATTTCATATCGACGTTATATTTTATTACTTGTAACGGTAACGCAGTTACATCTTTGGGTAACGAATACAATCGTTACTCTTCACACGTACGATATATATATATACACAGGGTGTCTCAGATCGACAAACTTCGTAAAGAGTTCTCTATTATTTTGCAAACAACACGTAAAATTTCGAATTATCAATTGTTGAAAATGACCGTGTATTGATTTTTCCTTAATTGATAATTCGAAAACTTGTGTATTATTTGCAAAATGGTACGGGACTTTTTTGTTCAGTGCGGTCTAATCTACAAGTATATGACACAGCTGTTGTACCTAACGACGAATATCGGTAAGGTTTGTTTTCTATTCCCGCACCAATTCAAGAAGTGTGGCACTGAAGCATTTTCTATTCCAGAACTGGTGTCAGCAACGCTGTTTTTCAAATAAGAGTGCACGAAACATCAAGTAGCCTGTATCATTATATCATTAAGGTCGGGCAGGAGGCAAATATCGATTGTACAAAAATGTCGCTGGACTATATTTCTCGTCGTATCTGCGCACTTTCCCATGTTTTAACCCGGCGAAAAATCATATTTGCTCATTAAACTATTTTTGGAGCCTTTCTTACGAACGTACTTCAGAACTCTATAGAGCCGGATTTTGCAATTAAGGTTCTGACAATTTATAATAAGTGAAAATACAGACTCGTTCTGCACTTCAAATGCCGCGACGTGTGTAGTACGACTTGGAGTACAGCACAAAACCGTACTTACGTTTATTACGAATTTTTAGAGCCTTAATTTGCAAAATCCAGCTCTACATAAAGCTAAGTACATTCGCAAGAAAGACTTGAAAAATAGTTTGATAAGCCAGTACGATTTCTCCGAGTTCCGTGTCGTAAAATACTTTTATCTGAAAAAAATTAACGGCCTCGCAGATCCAAGCCGAGTTAGATGAAGTTCATGGAAACTCTGCACCAGCGAAGACCATTTATTTCCGGATAAATGAGTTCGAGCAGTGTGTCGATCAATAAGTACAATTATTAGACGTTTCGAAGAATACGTGTCTTCATCTTAAATAAAAAAATTCGCTTGAAATGAAATCGTTGTCGAATCACAGAACGATCAACAGTCACGATGCGCGAATATTCGAACATAATGTGCCGACATAATTGGAAAATTTCGATGTCACTGTGCCGAACGAATGGAACTACGCTGGTAGGATTTTCCGCACGCATGTCGCGTGTTGCACATCATAACGATTGAATATACCACAACTCGCGACCCGCGTCTCAAACGGCGGATCGTCCGACGAATTCAAAACCTCTCGAGATTCCCACGCGATCCGCGGGATTCCGCATCGGAAACAGAAAATCCTTATTGCGTCAATGGAATTTCCAGCAATTGGAGTAAATTTTCTTGACTCAACAGCAGAAAAGAAATTACGGAGAATAATACATCGTACATTGTTTCAGTAACGATGTTGCTGCTGAATCAAAAAGACTCGATCCAACGGTGTTGCGGGAATTTCGTCGATAAAATTGGCGTTTTCGCCGTGGCGAGAGAAAATAAGGACCTGGAATGAAGAATTGAACGAGGTGAAGGCGCACTCACGTGTCTCCGTCGTCGTCCTGCGTGTAGTAGAGCTCCCACGGCTCTTCGTTGGCGCGTCGTCGCTCCTGCGCGACGACATGGTCGCAGCTGCCGTCTCGCAGTTGCTGCTGCTGTTGCGGCTCGACGTCAACGTCGCTACGGATGTCATAGTCCGAGGACGGGTCCGGCCGCACGGGCACCAGTTCGATGTTCGGCTCGAGGTTCGATTTCGCTTGGACGCCGGCACGACTGCCGGTCAGCGAATTTAAGGCGACCTGTTTGAGGGAGAGCTGGCTGAGGCTCTCGCTGAGGCCGAGGTCCACGATGAGGCCGCTGTCAACCCTCATTGGCTCGGCTATCGTAGTCGCGACCGAAGATGACGACGAGGACACCGTCGTCGTTACACCTGCTCGCTCTCTCTTCTCGATCTCCGCTCTCGGCCCGTCCCCCTCGCGATCGCCCCGCGAAAGCAACCCCGAGTCGCAGATCTCGCCACTGGTTTGCAGATTGCCGCTCGACAAGAAGCCGGAGTCGACGTTGCTGCTATTTGCCGTTGTTATCGACTTGTCGTCGGTGCTGTCGCGCCGCCAGCGCTTCTCGTCCTCCCTTGTCGTCAACGCTCCCGGAGCTTGCTCTTCCTCCATCTGCTGGGTGCTTCGCTTCGAGGGATGCCACATCTTTTTCCGCCGAGTGTCCGATGATGACGGTCGTTTCTTCCTTCGATTGGATCGCTCGATGACATCCACCGGTGAAGCTACAATAGCGAGCGTGACGATGCTGTGCGAGGAACGGTGGTGGTGTACTGCTGTTGGCGAAGCAGCACGACGTGACACTCGAAAGTGCGATCTAACGGTCGACACGCTCCGGGAAGTTCTGCGCGTTCTTCTTCCTCTCTCTCTCTCTCTCTCCCTCTTTCCGTATATCGTCTACCGCTTCTGGTAAGCTTGCGTTTGTATCTTCCCCAAGTTCGCCTCACGTCGCGTTGCCGCTCGCTGCACTACATTCGCTGGTTTCATCGATCCTCGGGATGCCTCGGCGACGGTGACTCTTCGTGAATCGCGTGGTGTCGCGTCGTTACGTGCGATCGTGACGTGATCCTCTCTCTCTCTCTCTGGAACGCACGCTTGATCGACTATTTATGGGTGCACAATCGACTCGGGCTTCGACGTTTTTCCCCGTTCGTCTGTTTGTTCGTTCGCTCGTTTCAACGACGCCTATATTCGTCCGATTCCTTTCCTTCCCTGCCGCGGAACAGCTGTGCCCAAGACTCTCTCTCTCTCTCTCTCTCTACTTGCCTATCTGTCGTCTCTCTTTCCGCTTCGTGTTTCTCGCATGTTTCGAGCCGTTCCTCTCCCACTGCTACTACGAGTTTCACTCGTTCACTGCACTGCACGATGGGACGAGGTGGTAAGCAGAGCGGATTACACACTGCTGCAATCGGTTCGACCGTGAGAAAACGCAAGACAGAAGAGAGAGAGAGGGAGACACGTTTTTTCTTCGTTTCGCGACAACGTCGTTGTGTGACACACGCTCTCGCGTCGTTCGCTCTGCTGTTTTTGTGCGCGCGCGCGATCCTACCGCTGCACCGAGCGCGAACGTACCGAACGCTATCGTTTCTCGGGACGAACTAAACGACGAGCGAGCAAGTAGTAGCGGGCAACGCATGACGGAGAACGCGTCACCGTACGCCTGCGCAGACGGGATTTCTGGCAACGGTTCGTACACGAATGCCGCTGCGCGCACACAGGAGCGCGAGCGCATCGAGGCAAGTGGGAAAACCCATCGACCTCGGGCAGGGCCAGCTAACTACGTAGCTATACTGCGCGACTGTGTGTGTGGCTGACACACAATAATACGCGACGACGCAGCGCGCTGCACAGATAGGCGATTTCGAGGTCGCGAAGGAAGCCTCCTGTTTGATGCACCGAGTCCGTTGATCTCGGACCGACGTTCGACAGGTCATGTGCAATCGAAAGATCAACATGATGATTGCTTATTGGAGAAATCAGATATGGTTGAACGCCTCAGACATTCGACGGTAACGTTCGGTAATGGAAATATACGCTGCGCTATATGTACTCTTTCTCTCTCTCTCTCTCTCTCTCTCACTGTCTCGCTCTTTGTTCTGTATCTTTCACTTTTTACAAAGATTGCGCTAGAGCGCTCTTACGCGCTATGAACGTTATATATTCTATTTATTTATTCTCCGTTACCAAAGGGAGATAGAACGACGTCCATAACGCGCCCAAAGCGAACGCAGCCAGGGTTTCATCGCGGAAATGAGCGAGTTAAGGAGAGAAAACCAGAAAGACGCCGAGATAAATCTCCGTTCACGCTCAGTCTGTCTACAATGTGCAGGAATACGTGATCCAACTTGAACGGAGTTACCCGGAGCTTTCGCGGACTTTCATTAGAAAGCTGCATGTCCCGATGAAATCCCCCATGGCATTTTTTTTCGAGGAGGGAGAGGGGAATTGCGCGAGAAATAACGCACAAGTTCGTCATTGCTAACGCATCGCTAACGACGTAAGCTTTTGTATAGCAATATTTTCCACGTAGGAAACATGTCACCGCACTCGGTCTTTCCTTCATGGCGATTTCGCGCGAGCGAGCACTATTATCGCGTCACTCCGATCGTAACACAACAGACGGATGTTTGCATGCGTGAATACACGTATGAGGGACTCTTATCGACGAATATACCCACTCAGGGAGGGTATCGCGTAACGACGGAATTTCTAACGCCTATTTCTAGTATATCTCTGAAACATCTCAGGAATCTACAGTGCCCCGACGGATCCGTCGACTTTCATCCGCGATAGATCCCAGAAACATCCTTTATTTTGCGTCGCTCGTGTACTTGGAACGCTTCGTAGCTCGAACGTGTGGTGTTCCTCTCTAAAAAAGATCAATATCCGTTATTCAATATGTCGCCTTTTTTTCGCCCGAGCCTCATCTTGATTCGGTTATTTTTTGTCACTCGGTGATCGCGACGATACCGTTATCTGTTCGCGGCCGATCCGAGAAATCCCCAGATTGTGCAAGAACGCTCGGTGAGGATCACAATTCAGATAACATTCGGAGCATATATTTCATGGAGCTATTAAGCTTATCGTATTAAACAGCGACTGGATAATAAAAGAGTTAATGAAATTTCCCAATGAATATTTTCAGGTGAAAATATCACCAGTCGCATTGCATGGAATACTCAGCCGTTACCATTTTCCTTCTTCACCGCATCAAAGGCTTTTTAGGGG